GTGTAGAGAATGAGGAGGTTAAGGAGACCACGCTGCGGGAGCTGAAAATGCTCCGGACCCTGAAGCAGGAGAACATCGTGGAGCTGAAGGAGGCGTTCCGCCGCCGCGGAAAACTCTACCTGGTGTTCGAGTACGTGGAGAAGGTGAGTCCTTCATCTTCTTCATCATCATCATTGTTCATTATATAATGCACCAGGTTTACCCCCCGTTCTTCCTCCTGATGTGTTCTATATATTTATATTTCCTGGTCAGAACATGCTGGAGCTGCTGGAAGAATTACCGAACGGCGTTCCGACCGACAAAGTTCGCAGCTACATCTTCCAGCTGATCCGTGCCATCCACTGGTGCCACAAACACGACATCGTCCACAGGGGTAACTCCACCTATTGTTACTTTATTTGATTTTGCCCATACATGAATACATTGTTCGGATTAGGCTAGCTGCGTCTTATTATACATAATAACGTCAACTAATAATGCCCCGATCAGCTTTGACTCCGTTTAAAGGACCTCAAAGTGGTGAGATGTGTACAGGTACGATGGGTACGGTGAGATGTGTTCAGATTTGATGGGTACGGTGAGATGGGTATGGTGAGATGTGTTCAGGTACGATGGGTACGGTGAGATGTGTTCAGATTTGATGGGTACGGTGAGATGGGTATGGTGAGATGTGTTCAGGTACGATGGGTACGGTGAGATGTGTTCAGGTACGATGGGTATGGTGAGATGTGTTCAGGTTTGATGGGTACGGTGAGATGTGTTCAGGTTTGATGGGTACGGTGAGATGTGTTCAGGTACGATGGGTACGGTGATATGTGTTCAGGTACGATGGGTACGGTGAGATGTGTTCAGGTACGATTGGTACGGTGAGATGTGTTCAGGTACGGTTGGTACGGTGAGATGTGTTCAGGTACGATGGGTACGGTGAGATGTGTTCAGGTTCGATGGGTACGGTGAGATGTGTTAAGGTACGATGGGTACGGTGAAATGTGTTCAGGTACGATGGGTACGGTGAGATGTGTTCAGGTACGATGGGTACGGTGAGATGTGTTCAGGTACGATGGGTACGGTGAGATGTGTTCAGGTACGATGGGTACGGTGAGATGTGTTCAGGTTGGATGGGGTTACGTACTCCCCCCCTTTTGTTGTCCTCTTTGTTCTCTCTGCTGTGCAGGTACACCTGGCTCCGCCTTCCCCAGGTGTTCCCAGTTGTCACTCAGCCGAGCATAAAAGAGGAGACTGAAGGAGAAGGAGGGCGCCGATCACTACTCCGGATGTCTCTGCTGTGTCAGAGCTCTTGTGCCTTTTTGTTGTGTTCCCTGGAGGACGTGTTAGTATTAGGTTTTCGCGGCTTTATTTCTCCCGTTAGGTTCTGTTGGATTTTGGGTAGCGGAGGAAGGCTCTGGATCCTACGGCCCGTGGTGTGGTTGGCCCAAGTCCCCTCCCTCTGTTTGTTTGTTTTACCTGTCCTCCAGTGGAATGATTAAGTATTGTGGCAATAAATGTACGATTACAGTTTAGTGCCTACGTGTTGTGTACTTTTGTTTTATGTTGCGGACTGCCTCACGAGCCACTACTATTGAGTAGGGAGGCGGGTCGTAACATATGGGGGCTCGTCCAAAGGCTGTCTCGGGCAGGTGCCGGTGTGGTGAGTAGTATTACTTTGTAAAAAGCCCTTGACAGCATTTATTTGTTTGGTTGGCTGTATAGCGTAGAGTTGCAGTGATGGATTTCGACTTGGAGGGGTTTGTTGGTGATCCGACTCGGGGGAAGTTGGATGCATGTAGCAAACAGCAGCTTGGTCTGATCACAGGCAAATTTGACGTTGTAGTCAATAAGCAGAACAAGAAACAAATCATTAAGGGACAGCTGTTGGCTGCGCTTATAGATCAGGAGGTATTGTCAGAGGAGGAAGTAGACGTTCCCATAGACGACGAGACAGAGGTCACACAGAAAGTGAGCGACCTTCAACTTCAGCTAGAGCTGCGCAAGTTGATGGTTAGAGAGGAGAGTGATAACAGACTGAGAGAGAAGGAGATCGCCTGTAATCTCGAATTGAGGAAATATGAGGCGGAGTTACGTTTGAGGGAGCTGGAGCTGACGTCTTACCAGACTCAGCAGTTGGGGTCTGCGCAACCTCATGATTTTGACGTAGGCAAGTATACTCGGTTTATCCCAGTGTTTAACGAAAAAGACGTTGATAGCTATTTTGTCCTGTTTGAGCGTGTAGCAACAACGTTTAAATGGCCTGGGAACATGTGGACCGTTATGCTGCAGTGCGTTCTCGCGGGTAAAGCGCAGGAAGTGTATACTGCGTTATCTGAGGAGGTTAGCCGGGATTATGAACAGGTGAAAGCTGCAATTCTGCGCGCTTATGAGCTGGTGCCTGAGGCATACCGTCAAAAGTTTCGTGGTTTGAAAATACAAGATTGTCAAGCGTATGTGGAATTCGCCCGTGAGAAAGAGGTTCTGTTTGAGCGATGGTGCTCATCGACGGGGACAACATCTCTAGAGGACCTAAAAACATTAGTGCTCATGGAAGAATTCAAAAACTGTTTGCCTTACACAGTAGCCACATACCTCAATGAGCAAAAACCGGTGAAACTGTTTGATGCTGCGGTTTTGGCTGATGAATATGTGCTTACTCACAAGACTGTCTACAGTGAGAGGACTAGGGCACAGGCCGGGTTTGTGGACAATAATATCAGAGAAACCCCAGTCGTCACTAAAGTGCCATGGCAGTCCAGCAGGCCAAGAGTTGCTGAGGAAAAACCGGGAGAGGTGAATTGGGGATCTACGGATAGGCCAGTGTGTCATTACTGCAAGAAAATAGGTCATATTGTTGCGAATTGCTATTTTTTACGGGATGAAAATAAGCATGTAAAGACGGTTGCTTTGGTGAGTACTTCAAAGCCAGGGTCTCACAAATCTGAACTGGAAGTTTTTGCTCCGTTTCTCATGGAGGGAATGGTGTCTTTACCGGGGAAGAACAACAGGGTTCCAGTGACCATTTTGAGGGATACAGCAGCTTCGCAATCCTTTATGATAAGGGGTGTGTTTCCCCTCTCTGAGGAGTCTGCTGTGGGTTCGGATGTTCTTGTGAGGGGGTTTGGTATGCAGTGTGTGGGTTCGCCATTGCATAATATTCATCTTGAGTCAGATCTGGTCACAGGTCCGGTAACTGTCGGGGTTCGGCCATGTCTTCCCATTGAAGGGGTAGATTTGGTCTTGGGGAATGATTTAGCCGGTGGCAGAGTGCTCGTTAAGCCGGGAGTGAATGCGGTGGCAGTCACCCGCGACAGTTTTACGGCTACGGGATTGGACAGACCGGTCAGAGATCCTCCATCATGGCGTGAGGGTGGGAAATCAGGTACGATAAGCCCTGGGGCTGTTCATAACCCTGTCGCTGCCTGTGTGGAGGCGCTGTCCAGTGCTAAAAGTGACACCCCTGTCACCTCGGAGGCCCCGATCGCTGCGGAGACTCTGGCCAATATGGAGTCTCATTTGGCACACTTGCCTGATGCGCAGCGTGCAGACGTATTGGAGCTGATCGTGAGGTGGAGGAGCCGGTGTCATACTTCTCAAAGAAATTCAATCGACACCAGCGGGTGTATTCCACCATCGAAAAGGAGGCACTGGCTATGGTTCTGGCTTTGAACCATTTTGAGGTATACGTGGAGTCATCAAACAATCCTGTCACTATTTTCACTGATCACAACCCCCTTGTGTTTCTGCAGAGAATGCGTAACACAAATCAAAGGTTGATGCGGTGGAGTATTTTCATGCAAGCCTTCAATGTTGAGGTCAAACACATTCGTGGCAAGGATAATGTGTTGGCTGATGCATGGTCGCGCTTATAATATAGCAGTTATTGTGTGTTGTTAACCTGTCTGGTGTGTGGAATGAGTGGTGGTGAGCACGTCTGTCAACTAAGGTTGATTGTTGTGATTGTTTTGTTTTAAAAAAAAAAAAAAATCACTAACTCATGGTGGGGGTGTTACGTACTCCCCCCCTTTTGTTGTCCTCTTTGTTCTCTCTGCTGTGCAGGTACACCTGGCTCCGCCTTCCCCAGGTGTTCCCAGTTGTCACTCAGCCGAGCATAAAAGAGGAGACTGAAGGAGAAGGAGGGCGCCGATCACTACTCCGGATGTCTCTGCTGTGTCAGAGCTCTTGTGCCTTTTTGTTGTGTTCCCTGGAGGACGTGTTAGTATTAGGTTTTCGCAGCTTTATTTCTCCCGTTAGGTTCTGTTGGATTTTGGGTAGCGGAGGAAGGCTCTGGATCCTACAGCCCGTGGTGTGGTTGGCCCAAGTCCCCTCCGTCTGTTTGTTTGTTTTACCTGTCCTCCAGTGGAATGATTAAGTATTGTGGCAATAAATGTACGATCACAGTTTAGTGCCTACGTGTTGTGTACTTTTGTTTTATGTTGCGGACTGCCTCACGAGCCACTACTATTGAGTAGGGAGGCGGGTCGTAACTGATGGGTACGCTGAGATGTGTTCAGGTACGATGGGTACGGTGAGATGTGTTCAGGTTCGATGGGTACGGTGAGATGTGTTCAGGTACGATGGGTACGGTGAGATGTGTTCAGGTTCGATGGGTACGGTGAGATGTGTTCAGGTGCGATGGGTACGGTGAGATGTGTTCACGTACGATGGGTACGGTGAGATGTGTTCACGTACGATGGGTACGGTGAGATGTGTTCAGGTACGATGGGTACGGTGAGATGTGTTCAGGTATGATGGGTACGGTGAGATGTGTTCACGTACGATGGGTACGGTGAGATGTGTTCAGGTACGATATGTATGGTGCGATGTATTCAGGTTTGATGGGTACGGTGAGATGGGTTCAGGTAGGATGGGTACGGTGAGATGTGTTCAAGTTGGATGGGTACGGTGAGATGTGTTCAGGTTTGATGGGTACGGTGAGATGTGTTCAGGTTTGATGGGTACGGTGAGATGTGTTCAGGTTTGATGGGTACGGTGAGATGTGTTCAGGTACGATGGGTACGGTGAGATGTGTTCAGGTACGATGGGTACGGTGCAATGTATGCAGGTTTGATTGGTACAGTGAGATGTGTTCAGGTACGATGGGTACGGTGAGATGTGTTCAGGTTTGATGGGTACGCTGAGATGTGTTCAGGTACGATGGGTACGGTGCAATATATTCAGGTTTGATTGGTACAGTGAGATGTGTTCAGGTATGATGGGTACGGTGCAATATATTCAGGTTTGATTGGTACAGTGAGATGTGTTCAGGTACGATGGGTATGGTGAGATGTGTTCAGGTTTGATGGGTACGGTGAGATGTGTTCAGGTACGATGGGTACGGTGAGATGTGTTCAGGTACGATGGGTACGGTGAGATGTGTTCAGGTTTGATGGGTACGGTGAGATGTGTTCAGGTACGATGGGTACTCTGAGATGTGTTCAGGTATGATGGGTACGGTGAGATGTGTTCAGGTACGATGGGTACGCTGAGATGTGTTCAGGTACGGTGAGATGTGTTCAGGTACAATGGGTACGCTGAGATGTGTTCAGGTACGCTGAGATGTGTTCAGGTACGATGAGATGTGTTCAGGTACGCTGAGATGTGTTCAGGTACGCTGAGATGTGTTCAGGTACGCTGAGATGTGTTCAGGTACGATGGGTACGCTGAGATGTGTTCAGGTACGGTGAGATGTGTTCAGGTACGATGGGTACGGTGCGATGTATTCAGGTTTGATGGGTACGGTGAGATGTGTTCAGGTACGATGGGTATGGTGAGATGTGTTCAGGTTTGATGGGTACGGTGAGATGTGTTCAGGTTTGATGGGTACGGTGAGATGTGTTCAGGTACGATGGGTACGGTGCGATGTATTCAGGTACGATGGGTACGGTGAGATGTGTTCAGGTACGATGGGTACGGTGAGATGTGTTCAGGTTTGATGGGTACGGTGAGATGTGTTCAGGTACGATGGGTACGGTGCGATGTATTCAGGTTTGATGGGTACGGTGAGATGTGTTCAGGTACGATGGGTATGCTGAGATGTGTTCAGGTTTGATGGGTACAGTGAGATGTGTTCAGGTACGATGGGTACGCTGAGATGTGGGTCAGCTGAAGGTTCAGATGCTCTTTTTGAGGCTGATTCAGCGAGCAGGAAGCAGATGGCGGTGTGAGCGTTTGGCTCAGAGCAACTCAGCGATCTCAAAAGGCCTGCAGGAAACACCCGGCACACATATGACACAGAGACCACTTAATTAATTCATCATGATGACAATCTGTGTTTGCTCTCAGAGAAATAAGTTCTGACTCGGCTGTGTTCACGTGTTTACGCACAGAAAAACATAGATATATATCATGTACTCTTCCTCCTCAGACATAAAGCCAGAGAATCTCCTAATCAGCTCCGATGACGTCCTGAAGCTGTGTGACTTTGGTGAGAACCTCACACACACTACACACACACACACACACACACACACACACACACACACACACACACACACACACACACACACACACACACACACACACACACACACACACACACACACACACACACACACACACACACACACACACACACACACACACACACACACACACACACACCACAGTATTGTCAGCGGAGATATTTTAGTCTGCAGGCCTCTGGAGGGCAGCGGCTTGATCTGAAGCCGTGTGTCCTTTATCCCATCCCATCCATTGATCCACACAAAGACAGAAACGGTGATATGATAAAGAAGGGGGGGGGAATCTGGTAGAAATGGTTTCCTTCCTCTCAGCTCTTCCCTCTTCTCAGTTGTTGAGCCGTGTCGGGAAACAAGACGCTAATCCTGCGTCTGCTCCATCTGCTGCTGCATCAACAGAGCGGGGGGGTGGAAAACATGGCACAGCGTGAAGGAGGCGTGCGCTGCGTGTCAGCGAGTCAACACCCTGCAGACACATGTTACTGTACATACATGTTTCTATACATACATGTTACTGGAGACACATGTTACTGTACATACATGTTACTGTACATACATGTTACTGCAGACACATGTTACTGTACATACATGTTACTGTACATACATGTTACTGCAGACACATGTTACTGTACATACATGTTTCTATACATACATGTTACTGCAGACACATGTTTCTGTACATACATGTTTCTATACATACATGTTACTGCAGACACATGTTACTGTGCATACATGTTACTGTACATACATGTTACTGCAGACACATGTTACTGTACATACATGTTACTGCAGACACATGTTACTGTACATACATGTTACTGTACATACATGTTACTGCAGACACATGTTACTGTACATACATGTTACTGCAGACACATGTTACTGTACATACATGTTACTGTACATACATGTTACTGCAGACACATGTTACTGTACATACATGTTACTGCAGACACATGTTACTGTACATACATGTTTCTATACATACATGTTACTGCAGACACATGTTACTGTACATACATGTTACTGCAGACACATGTTACTGTACATACATGTTACTGTACATACATGTTACTGCAGACACATGTTTCTGTACATACATGTTACTGTACATAAATGTTACTGCAGACACATGTTTCTGTACATACATGTTACTGCAGACAAATGTTACTGTACATACATGTTACTGTACATTCATGTTACTGCAGACACATGTTACTGTACATACATGTTACTGTACATACATGTTTCTATACATACATGTTACTGCAGACACATGTTACTGTACATAAATGTTACTGCAGACACATGTTTCTGTACATTCATGTTACTGCAGACACATGTTTCTATACATACATGTTACTGCAGAAACATGTTACTGTACATTCATGTTACTGCAGACATATGTTACTGTACATACATGTTTATATACATACATGTTACTGCAGACACATGTTACTGTACATACATGTTTCTATACATACATGTTACTGCAGACACATGTTACTGTACATACATGTTTCTATACATACATGTTACTGCAGACACATGTTACTGTACATACATGTTTCTATACATTCATGTTACTGCAGACACATGTTACTGTACATACATGTTTCTGTACATACATGTTACTGCAGACACATGTTACTGTACATACATGTTTCTATACATACATGTTACTGCAGACACATGTTACTGTACATACATGTTTCTATACATACATGTTACTGCAGACACATGTTACTGTACATACATGTTTCTATACATACATGTTACTGCAGACACATGTTACTGTACATACATGTTTCTATACATACATGTTACTGCAGACACATGTTACTGTACATACATGTTTGTCACGATCTGTCTGTGTTGTGTTTTGTCTCGTCTTTTTCTGTCTTTGGTTTCATGTTTTATTTTGAAAAGTCTTCACCCCCTGTCTTGCCTGTGGCTTTCTTTCTGTGTTCCCTCCTCCTGATTACCCGATTGTGTTCACCTGGTGCCCCTGTGTTTTCTCCTCCCTCCTCACCTGTGTCTTGTTTGTGTGATTAGTCATGTTTGTATTTAAGTTCTGTTTTTTCTGTCTGTCTTTGTCGGTTCATTGTTTGTCGTTGACTGTGTTCACAAGGTAGTGTTTTGTTTGTTCCTTAAAAGCCTTTAAATAAAGGTATTTTTTCTGTTTATTCTGCATTTGGGTCCTGCCTGCTTCACTCACCTTAACACATGTTACTGTATATACATGTTACTGTACATACATGTTACTGTACATACATGTTACTGCAGAGACATGTTACTGTACATGCATGTTACTGTACATACATGTTGCTGCAGAGACATGTTACTGTACATACATGTTACTGTACATATATTTTACTGTACATGCATGTTACTGTACATACATGTTACTGTACATACATGTTACTGTACATGCATGTTACTGTACATACATGTTACTGCAGAGACATGTTACTGTACATATATTTTACTGTACATGCATGTTACTGTACATACATGTTACTGTACATACATGTTACTGTACATACATGTTACTGTACATATATGTTACTTTACATACATGTTACTGTACATATATTTTACTTTACATACATGTTACTGTACATACATGTTACTGTACATACATGTTACTGCAGAGACATGTTACTGTACATACATGTTACTGTACATATATTTTACATATATGTTACTGTACATACATGTTACTGAAGATACATGTTACTCTACATACATGTTACTGTACATACATGTTACTGCAGAGACATGTTACTGTACATACATGTTACTGTACATATATCTTACTGTACATACATGTTACTGAAGATACATGTTACTGTACATACATGTTACTGTACATACATGTTACTGAAGATACATGTTACTGTACATACATGTTACTAGGAGGGCTGATCATGTCTTATATCTGCAGTCTGAATCCTAACGAGCACTCAGAGATGGACCACTTTCAGGTTTCAGCTCCTCATTAAACTGCTCTACTTCTTCTCTTGCAGGCTTCGCTCGAAATCTCTCTGAGGGAACCGATGCCAACTACACGGAGTATGTGGCGACGCGCTGGTACCGATCCCCAGAGCTGCTGCTGGGGTACGACAATAAGCTTGTTATAACCCCAGGGTTTCTATAACCCCTCACTGTGCTACAGGGTCTCTATAAACCTTTACTGTGCTGCAGGGTCTCTATAACCCCTCACTGTGCTACAGGGTCTCTATAACCCCTCACTGTGCTACAGGGTTTCTATAACCCCTCACTGTGCTACAGGGTCTCTATAACCCCTCACTGTGCTACAGGGTCTCTATAACCCCTCACTGTGCTACAGGGTTTCTATAACCCCTCACTGTGCTACAGGGTTTCTATAACCCCTCAATGTGCTACAGGGTCTCTATAAACCCTCACTGTGTGCTACAGGGTCTCTATAACCCTTTACTGTGCTACAGGGTCTCTATAACCCCTCACTGTAATACAGGGTCTCTATAACCCCTCACTGTGCTGCAGGGTCTCTATAACCCCTTACTGTGTGCTGCAGGGTCTCTATAACCCCTTACTGTGTGCTACAGGGTCTCTATAACCCCTCACTGTGTGCTAAAGGGTCTCTATAACCCCTTACTGTGTGCTACAGGGTCTCTATAACCCCTTACTGTGTGCTACAGGGTCTCTAACCCTCACTGTGTGCTACAGGGTCTCTATAACCCCTCACTGTGTGCTACAGGGTCTCTATAACCCCTCACTGTGTGCTACAGGGTCTCTATAACCCCTCACTGTGCTACAGGGTCTCTATAACCCCTCACTGTGCTACAGGGTCTCTATAACCCCTCACTGTGTGCTACAGGGTCTCTATAACCCCTCACTGTGTGCTACAGGGTCTCTATAACCCCTCACTGTGCTACAGGGTCTCTATAACCCCTCACTGTGCTACAGGGTCTCTATAACCCCTCACTGTGCTACAGGGTCTATATAACCCCTCACTGTGTGCTACAGGGTCTCTATAACCCCTCACTGTGCTACAGGGTCTCTATAACCCCTCACTGTGTGCTACAGGGTCTCTATAACCCTTCACTGTGCTGCAGGGTCTCTATAACCCCTCACTGTGCTACAGGGTCTCTATAACCCCTCACTGTGCTGCAGGGTCTCTATAACCCCTCACTGTGTGCTAAAGGGTCTCTATAACCCCTCACTTTGCTACAGGGTCTCTACAACCCCTTACTGTGTGCTACAGGGTCTCTATAACCCCTTACTGTGCTACAGGGTCTCTATAACCCCTCACTGTGTGCTAAAGGGTCTCTATAACCCCTTACTGTGCTACAGGGTCTCTATAACCCCTCACTGTGCTACAGGGTCTCTATAACCCCTCACTGTGCTACAGGGTCTCTATAACCCCTTACTTTGCTACAGGGTCTCTATAACCCCTCACTGTGCTACAGGGTCTCTATAACCCCTCACTGTGCTACAGGGTCTCTATAACCCCTCACTGTGTGCTACAGGGTCTCTATAACCCCTCACTGTGCTACAGGGTCTCTATAACCCCTTACTTTGCTACAGGGTCTCTATAACCCCTCACTGTGCTACAGGGTCTCTATAACCCCTCACTGTGCTACAGGGTCTCTATAACCCCTCACTGTGTGCTACAGGGTCTCTATAACCCCTCACTGTGTGCTGCAGGGTCTCTATAACCCCTTACTGTGCTACAGGGTCTCTATAACCCCTCACTGTGCTACAGGGTCTCTATAACTCCTCACTGTGTGCTACAGGGTCTCTATAACCCCTCACTGTGTGCTACAGGGTCTCTATAACCCCTCACTGTGCTACAGGGTCTCTATAACCCCTCACTGTGCTACAGGGTCTTTATAACCCCTTACTGTGTGCTGCAGGGTCTCTATAACCCCTCACTGTGCTACAGGGTCTCTATAACCCCTTACTGTGCTACAGGGTCTCTATAACCCCTTACTGTGCTACAGGGTCTCTATAACCCCTTACTTTGCTACAGGGTCTCTATAACCCCTTACTGTGTGCTACAGGGTCTCTATAACCCCTTACTGTGCTGCAGGGTCTCTATAACCCCTTATTGTGTGCTACAGGGTCTCTATAACCCCTCACTGTGCTACAGGGTCTCTATAACCCCTCACGGTGTGCTACAGGGTCTCTATAACCCCTTACTTTGCTACAGGGTCTCTATAACCCCTCACTGTGTGCTACAGGGTCTCTATAACCCCTTACTGTGTGCTACATGGTCTCTATAACCCCTTACTGTGTGCTAAAGGGTCTCTATAACCCCTCACTGTGCTACAGGGTATCTATAACCCCTTACTGTGTGCTACATGGTCTCTATAACCCCTCACTGTGTGCTACAGGGTCTCTATAACCCCTCACTGTGCTACAGGGTATCTATAACCCCTCACTGTGCTACAGGGTCTCTATAACCAGGGCTGCACATAACTGGTGCGCAGGTGCGCATGCGCACCTCCGCCAAAAAAAGAGCACCGGGTCATTTGAAAAAAGGCGCATTTGCGTACCAACATTGAGAGAGAGAGAGAGGAGAGAGGAGAGAGAGAAGGGAGAAGAGAAAAGAGAGAAGAGAGGAGAGAGAAGAGAGGAGAGAGGAGAGAGAGAAAGATATTTGGGTTAGTTGCATATGAACTCAGGGCCGGCCCGTAGCACTGGCGTTATAGATGTTCGCCTAGATTGCAGATCTGGGGAGGCGCTGCGCTGGCAGTTCTGGGAGGGAAAAACACATTTTTGACCGTTGGGGCTCATCCTAATTTTCGGCCTTAATGTAACAATATTCATAATTAAGTAAATGTAACACCCTTTTCACCCCGGTTACACGTTTCATTTGCCCTGTACTATGGGCGCTGTAAGTGATGAAAATGGGGGATGTTGGCTTATCTGGCGCCCGCAGCTCACAGCCAAAATGCGAGTGAGCGAGAGAGAGAGGGAGGGTGCACCAGTTCCGGCGCTGTTGTTATTAGAATCTGGTGCTAGCTGCTCTAACGGATGTAAGAAGAAGATGTTTCTACAATGATGTGGAGGGAGAGTCCTCTCCAGTCAGACTGAGAGGCTGATAACTACAGCTCAGTGAGGTAAAGGACTCTGAGTGTTTAGATAGTTCACTTTAGTCTAAGTTCAAACGGTTTGGTCACAATTGATGTAAACACATATTTCCAAGGCACTCCTTTATAATTATTGGGATAAACAGGTTTTAAATCATTCCAATGTATACGATAGGACAGTAACCAAACATATCCTTTAAAACTGGAATGATAAAAAAAAAATGCATAAATAAATGTTAAGGTAAAATAAGATATGAATGAACAACAAACATAAAATAAGTTACATTCATTTGTTATTGGCTATGGTAGGTTATTGGTTATGTTCACATACTTATTTGATTACATCCACTTGTCTAAGATGACAACAGAGACTTTCGACCCAAAACCCAGCTGTTGACTTGTGGATGCAAGCAGCTAATCACAGACTCAACCAGAGAGAAAGAAGTAGGCCTACATCATGAGCTACCATGTCTGACAGAGAGGAAGACAGTGAGGAGGGGAGTGATGACAGCTTGTAGGATTACTGCTCGTGCTAATGTTGTCTTGTGTTCACCTCTGCATGTGTGTTCTGTGTTCACCTCTGCATGTGTGTTCTGTGTTCACCTCTGCATGTGTGTTCTGTGTTCACCTCTGTGTGTGTGTTCTGTGTTCACCTCTGCATGTGTGTTCTGTGTTCACCTCTGCATGTGTGTTCTGTGTTCACCTCTGCATGTGTGTTCTGTGTTCACCTCTGCATGTGTGTTCTGTGTTCACCTCTGCATGTGTGTTCAGTGTTCACCTCTGTGTGTGTGTTCTGTGTTCACCTCTGTGTGTGTGTTCTGTGTTCACCTCTGCGTGTGTGTTCTGTGTTCACCTCTGTGTGTGTGTTCTGTGTTCACCTCTGTGTGTGTGTTCTGTGTTCACCTCTGTGTGTGTGTTCTGTGTTCACCTCTGTGTGTGTGTTCTGTGTTCACCTCTGCATAAAGTCAAGACCCCTCAAAAGTTACGGTTTATTTCATTTTAAGGATGAGCACCAAGCAACATCTCCAGGTGCTCCTTTGAGAACCAGGGCAAAAAAGTTATGTGCACCCCTGTCTATAACCCCTCACTGTGCTGCAGGGTCTCTATAACCCCTCACCCCCCTGCTGCAGGGCTCCGTACGGGAAGGCGGTGGACATGTGGTCGGTGGGCTGCATCTTGGGGGAGCTGAGCGACGGGCAGCCTCTGTTTCCGGGGGAAAGCGAGATTGATCAGCTGTTCACCATCCAGAAGGTGCTGGGACCCCTCCCTCCGGAGCAGATGAAGCTCTTCTACAACAATCCTCGCTTCCACGGCCTGCGGGTAAACCCACCTTTTCTACCTCAACCCCCCCCCCCCTGTTCCCTGCTCTGTCCCGAGAAATGTATAGTTTATAACGTACCTTCTGTAATCACTGATTAATGTTGGACTGTAAAGTGTTTCCGTCCCAGCAGCCAGCTCAGGACCCAGAGACTCTTCACTCAGTTTTGTCTTCTTAAAACTGTCAAACAAAGGAATGGTAGGGACACACAGAAATGCAGGACACACAGAACAAATCTGTATCCTCAGGTAATCCAGGCGGAGCAGGGCCAAACAGAACCCCCCCATGAACGATAAACAAGGATCTGACAAACACTGACAGAGAGAAACATCAGGAATGTGATTAAAAGATATTCAGTTAAAAAACAGGGAAAAGATGAGACGCTGAATCGTAACTTAAATCGATTCTAGAAACATTATTTCTCCTCTCTGGACTTCTTTCTGCTTTCTGTCTCTCTGCCTCCCCCTCGTTTCTCTGTCTTTATTCCTCGCTGCTCTCGTTGTGTTTCTGTGACGGATCAGTGACTCACACTGCATCATCTTCCTGCTCCCAGAAAAACCCTGCTGCAGACACAGGCCAGCTGTCAGCCCGATGAACACCTGAACGCACCACAGAGAACACCTGAACACAGAGAACACCTGAACACATCACAGAGAACACCTGAACACATCACAGAGAACACCTGAACACATCACAGAGAACACCTGAACACACCACAGAGAACACCTGAACACAGAGAACACCTGAACACATCAGAGAGAACACCTGAACACATCAGAGAGAACACCTGAACACATCAGAGAGAACACCTGAACACAACACAGAGAACACCTGAACACAGAGAACACCTGAACACATCACAGAGAACACCTGAACACAGAGAACACCTGAACACATCAGAGAGAACACCTGAACACAACACAGAGAACACCTGAACACAGAGAACACCTGAACACATCAGAGAGAACACCTGAACACATCAGAGAGAACACCTGAACACATCACAGAGAACACCTGAACGCACCACAGAGAACACCTGAACACATCAGAGAGAACACCTGAACACATCACAGAGAACACCTGAACACATCACAGAGAACACCTGAACACATCACAGAGAACACCTGAACACAGAGAACACCTGAACACACCACAGAGAACACCTGAACACATCACAGAGAACACCTGAACACATCACAGAGAACACCTGAACACATCACAGAGAACACCTGAACACATCAGAGAGAACACCTGAACACATCACAGAGAACACCTGAACACATCACAGAGAACACCTGAACACAGAGAACACCTGAACACAACACAGAGAACACCTGAACACATCACAGAGAACACCTGAACACATCACAGAGAACACCTGAACACAGAGAACACCTGAACACACCACAGAGAACACCTGAACACATCACAGAGAACACCTGAACACATCACAGAGAACACCTGAACACATCACAGAGAACACCTGAACACATCACAGAGAACACCTGAACACATCAGAGAGAACACCTGAACACAGAGAACACCTGAACACATCACAGAGAACACCTGAACACATCACAGAGAACACCTGAACACAGAGAACACCTGAACACAACACAGAGAACACCTGAACACATCACAGAGAACACCTGAACGCACCACAGAGAACACCTGAACACATCAGAGAGAACACCTGAACACAGAGAACACCTGAACACAGAGAACACCTGAACACATCACAGAGAACACCTGAACACATCACAGAGAACACCTGAACACAGAGAACACCTGAACACATCACAGAGAACACCTGAACACATCACAGAGAACACCTGAACACAGAGAACACCTGAACACATCAGAGAGAACACCTGAACACAGAGAACACCTGAACACAACACAGAGAACACCTGAACACATCACAGAGAACACCTGAACGCAACACAGAGAACACCTGAACACATCAGAGAGAACACCTGAACACAGAGAACACCTGAACACATCACAGAGAACACCTGAACACAGAGAACACCTGAACACAACACAGAGAACACCTGAACACATCACAGAGAACACCTGAACGCACCACAGAGAACACCTGAACACATCAGAGAGAACACCTGAACACAGAGAACACCTGAACACAACACAGAGAACACCTGAACACAGAGAACACCAGAACACATCACAGAGAACACCTGAACACATCACAGAGAACACCTGAACACATCAGAGAGAACACCTGAACACAGAGAACACCTGAACACATCAGAGAGAACACCTGAACACAGAGAACACCTGAACACAGAGAACACCTGAACACATCACAGAGAACACCTGAACACAGAGAACACCTGAACACAGAGAACACCTGAAAACAGAGAACACCTGAACACAGAGAACACCTGAACACAGAGAACACCTGAACACAGAGAACACCTGAACACAGAGAACACCTGAACACAGAGAACACCTGAACATGGATAGTTAGGTATTGCTTGTTAGTTGTATTGATGGTGATTGTTGGTGATTGTTGGTGATTGTTGGTGATTGTTGGTGATTGTTGGTGTTGCTGGTGATCGCTGGTGATATTAGGTGTTGTTGGTGATCGCTGGTGATATTAGGTGTTGTTGGTGATCGCTGGTGATATTAGGTGTTGTTGGTGATCGCTGGTGATATTAGGTGTTGTTGGTGATCGCTGGTGATATTAGGTGTTGTTGGTGATCGCTGGTGATATTAGGTGTTGTTGGTGATCGCTGGTGATATTAGGTGTTGTTGGTGATCGCTGGTGATATTAGGTGTTGTTGGTGATCGCTGGTGATATTAGGTATGGTTGTTGATTTTTGGTGATTGCTGAAAAGTTGTTCTGCTTTATTCATCATTTGTGTCGCGGCTGTGATCAAACCCTGCCACAAACATTGACACATTGACATTATCTGATCAACAGGAGAGAAGACTGAGGACGGTTTACTGATATATTAATCATCAAAAAAAAGTTTCCTTGCAACACTGTCAACACTGTGAGTGAACACAGGAAGTGTGGTAGTGGTTTGATCACGTACTTCTCCTACAGCAGCTTTCTACAACACTTAGTAACGTGTGATTGAAAAAGAACAGCTTCTGGAAACTTTGGAGAAATCTCCTACCAACATGAAGTTAGACAGAAGAAGAGAAGGAGGAAGAAAGCAGCAGGGCCCTTTGAGCCAGCTGCTGCACATATAATAGCTTTAAAATATAATGTTATCATAAATACTTCACTGTGGAACACTCAAGCCCCTATTGACCAGCGTTCCAAGACATTGTACATCATAGGCTAAGGGGCGGGGCATCTCTAAGTGGTTGACCAATCACAACAGAGAGACATGTACAAGTAGATACATTGCATACTGATATGCAACTGAACATCAGCAGGAGAGGACTCTTTAAAGTAGAGTAACTACATACTGATATACACCTGAATATCAGCAGGAGAGGACTCTTTAAAGTAGAGACACTACATACTGATATACACCTGAACATCAGCAGGAGAGGACTCTTTAAAGTAGAGACACTACATACTGATATACACCTGCACATCAACAGGAGAGGACTCTTTAAAGTAGAGACACGACACACTGATATACACCTGAACAACAGCAGGAGAGGACTCTTTAAAGTAGAGACACTACATACTGATATACACCTGAACATCAGCAGGAGAGGACTCTTTAAAGTAGAGACACTACATACTGATATACACCTGAACATCAGCAGGAGAGGACTCTTTAAAGTAGATACACTACATACTGATATACACCTGAACATCAGCAGGAGAGGACTCTTTAAAGTAGAGACACTACATACTGATATACACCTGAACATCAGCAGGAGAGGACTCTTTAAAGTAGAGACACTACATACTGATTTACACCTGAACATCAGCAGGAGAGGACTCTTTAAAGTAGAGACACTACATACTGATATACACCTGAACATCAGCAGGAGAGGACTCTTTAAAGTAGAGACACTACATACTGATATACACCTGAACATCAGCAGGAGAGCACTCTTTAAAGTAGAGACACTACATACTGATATACACCTGAACATCAGCAGGAGAGGACTCTTTAAAGTAGAGACACTACACACTGATATACACCTGAACATCAGCAGGAGAGGACTCTTTAAAGTAGAGACACTACACACTGATATACACCTGAACATCAGCAGGAGAGGACTCTTTAAAGTAGAGACACTACATACTGATATACACCTGAACATCAGCAGGAGAGGACTCTTTAAAGTAGAGACACTACATACTGATATACACCTGAACATCGGCAGGAGAGGACTCTTTAAAGTAGAGACACTACATACTGATATACACCTGAACATCAGCAGGAGAGGACTCTTTAAAGTAGAGACACTACATACTGATTTACACCTGAACATCAGCAGGAGAGGACTCTTTAAAGTAGAGACACTACATACTGATATACACCTGAACATCAGCAGGAGAGGACTCTTTAAAGTAGAGACACTACATACTGATATACACCTGAACATCAGCAGGAGAGCACTCTTTAAAGTAGAGACACTACATACTGATATACACCTGAACATCAGCAGGAGAGGACTCTTTAAAGTAGAGACACTACACACTGATATACACCTGAACATCAGCAGGAGAGGACTCTTTAAAGTAGAGACACTACACACTGATATACACCTGAACATCAGCAGGAGAGGACTGCTTTAAGCCCTTTAAGCTTCCTTTAATTTAAAATATAAAGAGTCTTGGATGTGAAAATGAATTGGGGAATGTTCACTTCAGTCATACATAAGGAGATATTATGTGTCTCTTCTATAACCCTCTGTTTCTGCAGTTCCCTGCTGTGAACCACCCTCAGACGTTAGAGCGGAGATACCTGGGCATCATCGGGGGGGCGCTGCTCGACCTGCTGAAGGTGAGGACCTCTATACCTTTATATTAATATATTTATGCTTTATATTTATATATTTAACCTTTATATTTATCACTTCATATGTAAATATGTATACCATTATATTTGTTTTCAGGACTTTATATTTAAATGTATATTAGTCCTGTCAATCAATTATTTAAAAAAAAGCTGTGTTAATCACAATGATATTCGTTGATTAATCAAGAATTATCACAAGTTTAAAATACTAGTATTCACATGTATCTGGGGAGTATACAACCAATACACACATGATGTGGTAATAAAGAAATGCATGAAGGACTGTGAGAGGGCTTTTCATTCTGTTAGGACATTTCTGAATTATTGCCATGAAGTCCAACATTTTTCCATCACCTAGCTAAAGCAAGGACAGAGAGGCGGTGTGTGTGTGTGTGTGTGTGTGTCAGCTATCTGCAGTGTGTGCTCAGTAAACAGAGTCTCAGTGTGGGCTGTGTATCTCCTGCAGAGTGACTCACCAACACAGAGTAATCTCAGCCTTCAGAGACATGCACTCTGAACAGTCAGGACCATTTCTGTCCTGAACACGAGTCAAGACCAGTATCTGTTCAGTAGAGTCAAGACCAGTATCTGTTCAGTAGAGTCAAGACCAGTATCTGTTCAGTAGAGTCAAGACCAGTATCTGTTCTGTGGAGTCAGGACCAGTATCTGTTCTGTGGAGTCAGGACCAGTATCTGTTCAGTAGAGTCAGGACCAGTATCTGTTCTGTAGAGTCAATACCAGTATCTGTCCTGTGGAGTCAGGACCAGTATCTGTTCAGTAGAGTCAAGACCAGTATCTGTTCTGTGGAGTCAAGACCAGTATCTGTTCAGTAGAGTCAGGACCAGTATCTGTTCTGTAGAGTCAGGACCAATATCTGTTCAGTAGAGTCAGGACCAGTATCTGTTCAGTAGAGTCATGACCAGTATCTGTTCTGTAGAGTCAGGACCAGTATCTGTTCAGTAGAGTCAAGACCAGTATCTGTTCTGTAGAGTCAAGACCAGTATCTGTTCAGTAGAGTCAAGACCAGTATCTGTTCTGTAGAGTCAGGACCAGTATATATTCTGTGGAGTCAGGACCAGCATCTGTTCTGTAGAGTCAGAACCAGTATCTGTTCAGTAGAGTCAAGACCATAATCTGTTCTGTAGAGTCAGGACCAGTATCTGTTCTTTGGAGACAGGACCATTATCTGTTCTGTAGAGTCAGGACCAGTATCTGTTCTGTAGAGTCAGGACCAGTATCTGTTCAGTAGAGTCAAGACCAGTATCTGTTCTGTAGAGTCAGGACCAGTATCTGTTCAGTAGAATCAAGACCTGTATCTGTTCTGTAGAGTCAAGACCAGTATCTGTTCTGTAGAGTCAAGACCAGTATCTGTTCAGTAGAGTCAGGACCAGTATCTGTTCTGTAGAGTCAGGACCAGTATCTGTTCAGTAGAGTCAAGACCAGTATCTGTTCTGTAGAGTCAGGACCAGTATCTGTTCTGTGGAGACAGGACCAGCATCTGTTCTGTAGAGTCAGGACCAGTATCTGTTCTGTAGAGTAAGGACCAGTATCTGTTCAGTAGAGTCAAGACCAGTATCTGTTCTGTAGAGTCAGGACCAGTATCTGTTCAGTAGAATCAAGACCAGTATCTGTTCTGTAGAGTCAAGACCAGTATCTGTTCTGTAGAGTCAAGACCAGTATCTGTTCAGTAGAGTCAAGACCAGTATCTGTTCAGTAGAGTCAAGACCAGTATCTGTTCTGTGGAGTCAGGACCAGTATCTGTTCTGTGGAGTCAGGACCAGTATCTGTTCAGTAGAGTCAGGACCAGTATCTGTTCTGTAGAGTCAATACCAGTATCTGTCCTGTGGAGTCAGGACCAGTATCTGTTCAGTAGAGTCAAGACCAGTATCTGTTCTGTGGAGTCAAGACCAGTATCTGTTCAGTAGAGTCAGGACCAGTATCTGTTCTGTAGAGTCAGGACCAGTATCTGTTCTGTGGAGTCAGGACCAGTATCTGTTCAGTGGAGTCAGGACCAGTATATGTTCAGTAGAGTCAGGACCAGTATCTGTTCAGTAGAGTCAGGACCAGTATCTGTTCAGTAGAGTCAAGACCAGTATCTGTTCTGTGAAGTCAGGACCAGTATCTGTTCAGTAGAGTCAAGACCAGTATCTGTTCTGTGGAGTCAGGACCAGTATCTGTTCTGTAGAGTCAGGACCAGTATCTGTTCTGTAGAGTTAGGACCAGTATATGTTCTGTGGAGTCAAGACCAGTATCTGTTCTGTAGAGTCAAGACCAGTATCTGTTCTGTAGAGTCAGGACCAGTATCTGTTCAGTAGAGTCAAGACCAGTATCTGTTCTGTAGAGTCAGGACCAGTATCTGTTCAGTAGAGTCAAGACCAGTATCTGTTCTGTAGAGTCAGGACCAGTATCTGTTCAGTAGAGTCAGGACCAGTATCTGTTCTGTAGAGTCAAGACCAGTATCTGTTCAGTAGAGTCAGGACCAGTATCTGTTTAGTATAGTCAAGACCAGTATCTGTTCAGTAGAGTCAGGACCAGTATCTGTTCAGTAGAGTCAGGACCAGCATCTGTTCAGTATAGTCAAGACCAGTATCTGTTCTGTAGAGTCAGGACCAGTATCTGTTCTGTAGAGTCAAGACCAGTATCTGTTCAGTAGAGTCAGGACCAGCATATGTTCAGTAGAGTCAGGACCAGTATCTGTTCTGTAGAGTCAGGACCAGTATTTGTTCTGTAGAGTCAAGACCAGTATCTGTTCTGTAGAGTCAAGACCAGTATCTGTTCTGTAGAGTCAGGACCAGTATCTGTTCTGTAGAGTCAAGACCAGTATCTGTTCTGTAGAGTCAAGACCAGTATCTGCTCAGTAGAGTCATTACCAGTATCTGTTCTGTAGAGTCAGGACCAGTATATTTTCAGTAGAGTCAAGACCAGTATCTGTTCTGTGGAGTCAGGACCAGTATCTGTTCAGTAGAGTCAGGACCAGTATCTGTTCAGTAGAGTCATGACCAGTATCTGTTCTGTAGAGTCAGGACCAGTATCTGTTCAGTAGAGTCAAGACCAGTATCTGTTCTGTAGAGTCAAGACCAGTATCTGTTCAGTAGAGTCAAGACTAGTATCTGTTCTGTAGAGTCAGGACCAGTATATGTTCTGTGGAGTCAGGACCAGCATCTGTTCTGTAGAGTCAGGACCAGTATCTGTTCAGTAGAGTCAAGACCAGTATCTGTTCTGTAGAGTCAGGACCAGTATCTGTTCTGTGGAGACAGGACCAGCATCTGTTCTGTAGAGTCAGGACCAGTATCTGTTCTGTAGAGTCAGGACCAGTATCTGTTCAGTAGAGTCAAGACCAGTATCTGTTCTGTAGAGTCAGGACCAGTATCTGTTCAGTAGAGTCAAGACCAGTATCTGTTCTGTAGAGTCAGGACCAGTATATGTTCTGTGGAGACAGGACCAGCATCTGTTCTGTAGAGTCAGGACCAGTATCTGTTCTGTAGAGTCAGGACCAGTATCTGTCCTGTGGAGTCAGGACCAGTATCTGTTCAGTAGAATCAAGACCAGTATCTGTTCTGTAGAGTCAGGACCAGTATATGTTCTGTAGAGTCAAGACCAGTATCTGTTCAGTAGAGTCAGGACCAGTATCTGTTCTGTAGAGTCAGGACCAGCATCTGTTCAGTAGAGTCAAGACCAGTATCTGTTCAGTAGAGTCAAGACCAGTATCTGTTCAGTAGAGTCAGGACCAGTATCTGTTCTGTAGAGTCAAGACCAGTATCTGTTCTGTAGAGTCAGGACCAGTATCTGTTCAGTAGAGTCAGGACCAGTATCTGTTCAGTAGAGTCAAGACCAGTATCTGTTCAGTAGAGTCAGGACCAGTATCTGTTCAGTAGAGTCAAGACAAGTATCTGTTCAGTAGAGTCAGGACCAGTATCTGTTCAGTAGAGTCAAGACCAGTATCTGTTCAGTAGAGTCAGGACCAGTATCTGTTCAGTAGAGTCAAGACCAGTATCTGTTCAGTAGAGTCAGGACCAGTATCTGTTCAGTAGAGTCAAGACAAGTATCTGTTCAGTAGAGTCAGGACCAGTATCTGTTCAGTAGAGTCAAGACCAGTATCTGTTCAGTAGAGTCAGGACCAGTATCTGTTCAGTAGAGTCAAGACCAGTATCTGTTCAGTAGAGTCAAGACCAGTATCTGTTCAGTATAGTCAAGACCAGTATCTGTTCAGTAGAGTCAAGACCAGTATCTGTTCAGTAGTCAATACCAGTTCTGTTCAGTAGAGTCAGGACCAGTATCTGTTCAGTAGAGTCAAGACCAGTATCTGTTCAGTAGAGTCAAGACCAGTATCTGTTCAGTAGAGTCAGGACCAGTTCTGTCAAACTTTGCAATAACAACCTCAAAAAGAAACAGACATAACAAGTTTAGATGACCTCATATCCTGTTCTGATGACCTCATATCCTGTTCTGATGACCTCATATCCTGTTCTGATGACCCCATCCCAACTGCCCCAGACCTTCCTGATGGTCTCTCTAAAACCTTTGAACCCTTCATTCATGTGTTTTCAGATCCTGAGAAACAGAGACGGATCTGAATTATCCTTCTTTAGTTTACAAGTTTTATTTTGAGTTAAAGATTCAACTCTCATCGTGAGACAATAAAACATTTTAGTTTGAGAAGGAACATGTCACACATCTTTGTGAGTGAAGACAAAGAGATGACTCACAGCAAGCGAGTGTGTGTGTGTGTGTGTGTGTGTGTGAGTGTGTGTCTGTGTACAGTATGAGGCTCACGGCTCCTTCTGTTTTACGGTCAGAACCTGCTGCTGCTGAACCCGACGGAGCGCTTCCTGACGGAGCAGTGTCTGAACCACCAGGCCTTCCAGAGCCTGAGGCCCGGACCCCCCACCCCGACCCCCGGCCGCTCCTCCAAGAGGAAACCGCACCACGGAGACACCTCCACCCCCAGCAGGTCTACACACTTTGTGTTTGCTTTGACTTGATATCAGCCAACAGCCTCGGGTACAGTTCCCGCATGGATCAGAACCCTTCATTAGTCCCACAGCGAGGTACAGTTCCTGCATGGATCAGAACTCTTCATTAGTCCCACAGCGAGGTACAGTTCTTGCATGGATCAGAACTCTTCATTAGTCCCACAGCGAGGTACAGTTCCTGCATGGATCAGAACTCTTCATTAATCCCACAGCGAGGTACAGTTCCTGCATGGATCAGAACCCTTCAATAGTCCCACAGCGAGGTACAGTTCCTGCATGGATCAGAACCCTTCATTAGTCCCACAGCGAGGTACAGTTCCTGCATGGATCAGAACCCTTCATTAGTCCCACAGCGAGGTACAGTTCCTGCATGGATCAGAACCCTTCATTAGTCCCACAGCGAGGTACAGTTCCTGCATGGATCAGAACTCTTCATTAGTCCCACAGCGAGGTACAGTTCCTGCATGGATCAGAACTCTTCATTAGTCCCACAGCAAGGTACAGTTCCTGCATGGATCAGAACTCTTCATTAGTCCCACAGCGAGGTACAGTTCCTGCATGGATCAGAACTCTTCATTAGTCCCACAGCGAGGTACAGTTCCTGCATGGATCAAAACCCTTCATTAGTCCCACAGCGAGGTACAGTTCCTGCATGGATCAGAACTCTTCATTAGTCCCACAGCAAGGTACAGTTCCTGCATGGATCAGAACTCTTCATTAGTCCCACAGCGAGGTACAGTTCCTGCATGGATCAGAACCCTTCATTAGTCCCACAGCGAGGTACAGTTCCTGCATGGATCAGAACTCTTCATTAGTCCCACAGCGAGGTACAGTTCCTGCATGGATCAGAACTCTTCATTAGTCCCACAGCGAGGTACAGTTCCTGCATGGATCAGAACTCTTCATTAGTCCCACAGCGCATCGGTACAGTTCCTGCATGGATCAGAACTCTTCATTAGTCCCACAGCAAGGTACAGTTCCTGCATGGATCAGAACTCTTCATTAGTCCCACAGCGAGGTACAGTTCCTGCATGGATCAGAACTCTTCATTAGTCCCACAGTGAGGAACTGAACAGCAAAGAGACACGCCAGATAAATGCTAGCAGTAATAAAGTAAAGTAATAAAGAGTAGCTAACATGTTAAATATAGAGAACAAGCACAGCTTAGTAAAATAAAGTAAATAAAATAATTAAAATAAAGACGAATAGGTTCTCCACCATGGCTCAACATCAATCTGTCTCTGTCTCAGGGGCCACGGGGGGAAGGGGGGCCACCGCTCCAGCAGCAGGGAGTGCTCCAGCCTCCCCCGGCATGAAGACCTGCTCCCCAGCACCGAGGCCTTCCTGAACGGGAACCTGCCAACAGCCATCACCCTCAGCCCCACCCTGCACCCCAAGAACTACTTCAGCCACCCCCCCCCCCTGCGCCGGGGACCTACCCCACCTGCTGGGCCCCGGAGAGACTAAGGGAAAGGCCGACTTCGACCTGAGCCTGGGCTCCAAGGGGTCAGACGGCCCTGGGGCCAAGTACCTCAAATCCAACTTCCGTTCGCAGCAGAACCGCCACTCGTTTGTGGAGGGAAAGACCAACACACTGCAGGGGGGGGAGAAACACGGGAGGCACGCAGACCCCCACGGCTCCTCCAAGTTCTCCTACCTGAACCTGTCCAGGGGCCACGGCATGCTGAGCGACGCCAAGTCTGTGGGGAACCTGAACGACGTGCACCTGTACGCCGACGAGCCCCGGTACTTCCCCTCCAGCTGCCTGGACCTCACAGCCCCCAGCAGCCCGCGGCGGGGGGACCACCTGGCCCCCGGGGCCCTGGCAGGGCCAGCATGCGCTCCGAGAGAGAGAGCAACACGCTGGACTCATCCTACAGGAGATCCTCCATCAGGCACAAGGCCTCGGAGGACGCCAAGGTCCCGGACACCCTGGACCCGGGGGAGGGCGGGGGGGAGAGGGGCCATGCCCACTCGCTGGCAGCCCCCCAGGACCCGCTCTCTTATGGGGGGGGATACACCAGCCCCTTCTCCTCGCAGCAGAGGCCCCATCGCCACTCCATGTACGTCCGGAGGGACCACCAGAGGACCCACGGGGGGGAGGAGGGTCTGCTGGTGGGGCCGGGGGGGCCGACGAGAGCCAGCAGCTTGCAGCTCCTGTCCCCCCAGCTGCAGCACCGGACCCTGCCCCGACACCCTGGAGGGGCCCGGGACGAGGACCTGAGCCGGGTCAGTCAGAGACATATTAATATAATCCCCTCAGCAGGAATTTCCACACAGATCTGCAGGATTAGAGTTTTTCACCAGTTTGTACAACATTATGACAAACCTACACACAACTACCCACAATGCCATGTTCCATTTCCACGAATATCCCAATAAGTACAGAGTCCAGACGCAGGGCATAAATAAGAGAGTGCAACTTCAGCCCCCCCCGTTTACTGTGGACATGGCTTTATGTTAACTTACACCAACTGTGGGAAGTTCTTTTATTTACAGCAATTTACACATACAACATTATTCGCACGATTCAGAAATATCAACCTTTTCTTTGTATCGAACTTCAATCAATATGCTTAGCATCCAATCAAACCCCAGAGCTGCACCTGTTGATAAAGGTTAAAGCAACAGGTGAACAGATCCATGACACCTGAGTGGATTTAAAAGAGGATTTTAAATGTGTGTTCCTCCTGCAGCTTCCTCTGGTGTGTGGGATGGCTTATATAAATACTGTGTACTGTACATATAGTTTATGTGTGTGTGTGTGTGTGTGTGTGTGTGTGTGTGTGTGCTGCTGCTCACTCCATGCTGCATCATGTTTCATCAACAGAGCGAGGCTCCCAGTGAGGTCCACAGCAGACCCCCCCCCATCAGGGACTCCATCAGAGACACCAGCTCGTCTTTTCACGCTCAGCGACAGAAAGAGGTCCGACATTCACCCCCCCCCTGCCCACATGCAGTGTGTCTGTGGGTGGATGCAGCACATCATCGCTTCTCTAATGTCACCGCTCAACCTCAGCTTCTGCACACACACACACACACACACACACACACACACACACACACACACACACACACACACACACACACACACACACACACACACACACACACACACACCACACACACACACACACACACACACACACACACACACACACACACACACACACACACACACACACACACACACAAACACACACACACACACTGTGTTACTGTCTGCACGCACACACACACACTCACACACACTGTGTTACTGTCTGCACACACACACACACACCACACACACACACACACACACACACACACACACACACACACACACACACTGTGTTACTGTCTGCACACACACACACACACACACACACACACACACACACACAGATTGTGTTGTACATACAGCGTGTGAGTCATCAGATTGTGTGTGTCTCTGGTCAGGTGGGCTTGTATCACGATCAGCAGGCGGAGGACGGCTCATCCAAAGAGAACCGGAACATCTACAGCGAGTCCATGCCCCGCAGGGTGGGCAGCTTCTACAGAGGTGTGTGTTCTCACACACATCACACACACCATCACACACCACCATCACACACCACCAGTAGGGCTGTGCATCTTCACTGGTCTCACGATTCGATTCGATTACGATTATCCTGTCAACGATTCGATTCAATTCGATATCCCGATGCATCCCGATGCATCACGATTCATACCAATGCGTTGCATCCTCAATTTTCTATATTACTGCACATGGCTTATTTTTCATCAATGCATACATGCAGTAAATACATATGAACTCTCTTTTTATTATTTAGAAAGTGCTTCAGAAATCAATAACATAAATGTCTTGACATTCATTTATGAACCAAAATAAATGAATTATAGGTCTAGCCTCCCTATATCTGTGTGTGAAGTTGTTCCATCCTCAAAAACAAAAACTAATGCTTCTGCAGTCTAGCTGCAGCTTCTAGCAACGGCCTTCTGTTAAAGAAAGGACACTGAATGTCCTGAACAGACAACAGGAGTATTTACAACAGCATATAACAACTAAAATACTGCATGTGGGTGCACACTCACATTCTCTGTCTTACTGTTTCATAAATCCCATGAATGTATGAGATTAAGTTAGCTTCATTATATCTCAGTGATTAAGTGAATAATAAAGTTTCTATCGGGTCACTATCAGCCTGTCACTCACTATTTTCAGGGAGGGGGCGGGGTTTGGAGGAACAGAGGAGACGGTGATTGCGGATGCTTTTTTCCTCCTGCCTTCACAAACTTTACACACGTATATATCGTCTGAAAATTGCTAGAGGACATTCATACTCTGCAATCCAAGACTTAATTAAATCCACCAAAAACCTGACATGATTGTAACGCGATTATTTTTGAAAAACATAAATCCCTGCGTCTCTGAGCCGCGACACGGAGTGATTCAGAGCGGGTCCTTCTGCTGTTGGTTCTGGACTGGTGTTCTTGTGTTGGTGGATAAAGCAGACTGCTCCGTGTTTGGTGTTGCTGTGCCGCTGTCACGTCTGTTCCCTGATCTCTGCGTCACCGACCGATATTAAAGTGACAGAAAAAAAAAACTTTATAGTAAAGCCGCGGCCGGAAAATCAGGAAGCAACGTTACTACGCTATAACCGATTATCTTCCGTCACTGCATCGATACCGAATCGTCCACGTCCGCATCGCAATGCATCGTAGAAACGATTATTTTCAACACCCCTAACTACCAGGGATCATCATGTCGTTATTGTTGGGGGTTAGGGTTAGATTGTTATAATTCATATATAAGATGATTGCGTCACCAGGGATCATCGTGTCGTCGTGGAAACAGAATGTGTATCTTCCTGTGTTTCTGTTTGTGGCTCAGTCCCGTCTCCGAGGCCGGACAACTCGTTCCACGAGGGCCGGGGCCCGAGCCGGGGCCCGGGCCGGGGCCAGGGGCCAGCGTTCGATCCCTGGTGAGTCTGTGGTTACTCTTTAAATGTTGTCAAAGAGCAGAGACTCTATTCTGAAGATATGAAGTTCCTCTCTGCTCAGATGATCCCTCGGTCCAGCATTAATTATTATTGGATCTGTGTCTCTTCAGGACGGGTCCGGACACGGTGGTTCTGAATCCCGCGGAGCCATCCAAAGAGAAGGAGAAGCAGGGCTTCTTCAGAGCCATGAAGAAGAAGAAGAAGAAGCCTCAGATGGTAACCGTCCTCTGGGCGGGGGGGGGGGGTGGTCTTCAGGGACATGTGTGCTAATTTCTTCCTGTCGTGATGTGCATCGTGTCCCTCTCACCCTGCACGCTCTAACCCTCCCCCTGCACGCTCTAATCCTCCCCCTGCATGCTCTAACCCTCCCTCTGCACACTCTAACCCTCCCTCTGCATGCTCTAACCCTCCCTCTGCACGCTATAACCCTCACCCTGCATGCTCTAACCCTCCCCCTGCATGCTCTAACCCTCCCCCTGCATCCTCTAACCCTCCCTCTGCATGCTCTAACCCTCCCTCTGCACGCTCTAACCCTCCCTCTGCACGCTCTAACCCTCCCTCTGCATGCTCTAACCCTCACCCTGCACGCTCTAACCCTCCCCCTGCACGCTCTAACCCTCCCTCTGCACGCTCTAACCCTCCCTCTGCATGCTCTAACCCTCCCTCTGCACGCTCTAACCCTCCCCCTGCATGCTCTAACCCTCCCCCTGCATGCTCTAACCCTCCCCCTGCATCCTCTAACCCTCCCTCTGCATGCTCTAACCCTCCCCCCTGCATGCTCTAACCCTCCCTCTGCCTGCTCTAACCCTCCCCCTGCATGCTCTAACCCTCACCCTGCATGCTCTAACCCTCACCCTGCATGCTCTAACCCTCCCCCTGCATGCTCTAACCCTCCCCCTATTTAGAGACAATGGACGTCCACTCTCGGGAGACGTCCGACAGTGGTGCTGTTACCCAAAGTGACAGACCTAATTTTACCTCTATATCGCAATGGACGTCCACTCTCGGGAGAGAGACCTCCAGCATGTGTCCCTGAAATGGGTTATATCACACATCCAGGACAGAGACCGGGTAAATCACCTCTCTGTGGCCCCTCCAAGACCCCCAAAGGACGGACTACAGATCTCCAGAATGTGTCCCTGAAATGGGGACTCAGGTTATTTCACACATCCAGGACAGAGACCGGGGAAATCACCTCTCTGTGGCCCCTCCAAGACCCCCAAAGGACAGACTAATGACCTCCAGCATGTGTCCCTCACATGGACACCTCCATAACCTTGCACACCGTGAGTCCCCGGGCCCCCGGACTTAAGCACTCCCCCACGGACTAAACCCAGATGATCACACCCTACAGAACCTCATGCCCCTGGTAACCCTAAAAGGGGGGTGGATTTTGCGGTGCTTTACCGTCCGCCCATCGGCATCCATATTCGGCCTTATTCACGGCACCACCACCCCTTCTGTGGAGGATATTCTCATGCTCCTGGTAACCCTTTAAATAGTCTGATACTATCAGGGCTCATCACTGCACTTTACATTACATTACATTGCATTTAGCTGACGCTTTTATCCAAAGCGACTTACAATAAGTGCGTTCGTCCAACAAAATACAACTTGAAGAAAACAGAATCATAAAGTACATCAGGTTTCATAGAGCAAAAACATTTCAAGTGCTACTCAACTGGCTTTAGAAAAGCCAGTCCTTTATTAGTATAAAAGTGTTTCGTTAATAGTTCTATCGCTCGAAGTGGAGTCGAAAGAGATGAGTTTTCAGTTTGCGCCGGAAGATGTGCAAGCTATCTGCCGTCCTGATGTCAATGGAGAGCTCATTCCACCATCCTGGAGCCAGGACAGCAAACCCACGTGTTTTCGCCGTTGGGAACTTGGGTCCCCCTCGCAGCGAGGGTGCAGCGAGTCGTTTGGCTGATGCAGAGCGTAATGCACGCGCTGGGGTGTACGGTTTAACCATGTCCTGGATGTAGGAAGGGCCAGATCCATTCGCAGCGTGGTAAGCAAGTACCAGTGTCTTGAAGTGGATTCTAGCAGTTACCGGAAGCCAGTGAAGCGAGCGTAGGAGCGGAGTAGTGTGGGAAAATTTAGGAAGGTTGAAGACCAGACGAGCCGCTGCATTCTGGATGAGCTGCAGAGGTCGGATGGCACATGCAGGTAGACCAGCCAGGAGGGAGTTGCAGTAGTCTAGGCGTGAGATGACGAGAGCCTGGACCAGAACCTGAGTCGCTTTCTGTGTCAGCTGGGGACGTATCTTCCTGATGTTGTAAAGCGTGTATCTGCAGCAATGGGTTGTAGCAGCGATGTTTGCAGTGAAGGACAGGTTGTTATCTAGGGTCACACCCAGATTCCTTGCAGTCTGAGTCGGGGAAACAACTGCTGAGGTGCCGATGTTGATTGTTAGGTCAAGAGTGGGACAATCTTTTCCCGGAAGGAAGAGCAGCTCAGTCTTGTCAAGGTTGAGTTTGAGGTGATGAGCAGACATCCACTGAGAGATGTCAGCTAGACAAGCAGAGATGCGTGCGACGACCTGGGTCTCTGAGCGGGGAAAGGACAGAATTAATTGGGTGTCATCAGCGTAGCAGTGGTAAGAAAAACCATGCGGGCTAATGACTTTACCAGCCAGAAATAATGTTTAAATGGTCGGGAAAAGTGTTTTTAAATGTCTGGAAGAGAGTTTTAGCTTGTCATTTTGCACGATATCATTTAACATTGAACCTCTCCTGGAAATGCACAGAATATGTGCATTTCCAGGAGAGGTTCAATGTTTAATAATATCGTGAATAATGACAGGCTAAAACCCAGGAATAAGTGTTTGAAAGGCGGGGAAAAGTTGTTTAAAATAGTCTGATACCTCCAGGGTGCATCACTGCATTTTACAAGCCAGGGAAGGTGTCTGAATCCTGGATAAACATTGTTTAAAAAGTCTGATACCTGGCCCTGTATCTGCCCCTGGGAACCTTCAAGGTTATATTAATGTTTTATTATTTATTTAATTATCACATGATTTTTACAAAAACAGTATACACAATATGCATAATAAACATAATAAAAACATGATTAGCGGGGGCCCGGGGACCATATTAGCCGTCTAACTTGTACGGTGCCCCGGGGAAAACAGGTTGACTCCATGACCCCTGCCCCCTCATCAGGAGTATCAACCGGCCCTGAAGAAGAGGTATCGCTGCTATGAGCCTCTGAGTCCTCTTCGGAGGTATCTGACGGCGGTATAACTCCTTCCGATGATGCTGCTGCAGCTGCTGCCGCCCTGAACATGGAGCGGATCTTCAATCCCTCCTTTATTCCAGGCGTATTCGCGTAGAACCGGTCTGCAGTGCGTACGTCGTGACACATAAACCTGGCGAGATTCGACCTGCTTTCTGGATCTTGGTGATGCTTGATATTGTCAGCCAGGGCAGTGCGCAGGATTGTGAAGGTGACGGCTGTTTCTAGCTCAGCATCAGCCCATGCCCTCTTCAAGTGAGCGTTCAGGTTCCTGGAGGCATGCTTCCCCGTTGTGAAAAGGAATAATTTATTCTGTGGACCCGACAAGCCCTCTTTTATCCCCATCCACCGCATGACCCAGCTAAACTCCTTTACTGTAAGCACCAGCTGTGCTTCGCCAAATGTCTTGGCAGTCTTGTGATCCTGCACGTGGATGATGTAGCCCTCAGCAGTGCCCCTTAAGTCCGCCTCCGAGACCTCAGTGTTGGTCATGTTTGCGTACACACCCGGACGGTGGCCATACAGGAGGCTCCAATGGAGGGTTAGATAGCCATATAGCAGGTACTGGGTGATTGCGGTCGGATTGCTAGCCATCAGGTCAAGGAGATCAGCGATGCGCTTCTCAGCGGCCGCCATGGCGTCGAGAAGCTCCGCCTGGCTCGGCAGACGATCCAGCTTGTTCCTCTTCACCATAAACTGGTGGACAGTGACAGACCTTTTCAAGTCGTTCATGTTGGCTGTCACCTCTCTGATGATGTGGGTCATATCAGACTGGGTGAGCCTGCACACCCGGAGCTTTGACTCGGACAAGTACCTCAGGAAATGGTTCATATTCTTCAGGAACAACAGCGATGTTGTGACTGCCCAGCCCGACTTTGAAATATACGCATGACAGTCTTGACCAGGGTCTTGAGAGGGGTCTCACTACCGGAGGATTCTGGGGACCGCATGACAGTCTTGACCGGGGTCTTGAGAGGGGTCTCACTACCGGAGGCTTCTGGGGACCGCATGAGAGTCCTGACCGGGGTCTTGAGAGGGGTCTCACTACCGGAGGCTTCTGGGGACCGCATGACAGTCTTGACCGGGGTCTTGAGAGGGGTATTGCTGCCGGAGGCTTCTGGGGACCGAATGACAGTCTTGACCGGGGTCTTGAGAGGGGTATTGCTGCCGGAGGCTTCTGTGTTTATGCTGGAGGTAATTGAGATTGCCAGGCTCTTAAATCGTATACATTCTTTCTCTTCTTCAAGCACAGCAGCAGTGGCACTCTGCTTCCTGGGTTTTAGCCCCTTTTTCAGCCTGGAGCGCAGGGTCTTCACCTCATCAATGAGGGCATCCTTCTGAGCCCTCAATGCCACATTTTCCAGCATCACCTGCCTGCAGTCCTCTTCGTCACACTTGGTATGTTGGGAGAAGGGTGGAGGGTGCACCGGGTATTCCTCCTCATTATCTATATCCAATGATGTAGCCATTCCAATGATGGGATCAGTCTCTCGGAGGTCATGGAGCAATTGCAGGGCCACACTATGCTTCAGCCTTGCCAGGACCTGATGTGCCTCATCTCGGGAGAACTCAGGGTGGTCATGAGTTACATGACGGTCTAGTCTCTTCCCAGCATACCAACACCCTGTGATGGGACAGGGTTTGGTCCGAACATTTATTCTGACACTGGCCATTTTAAGAATGATGACTCTTTCCTCCAAGTTCCGCACTGCATGTTTGTGCTTAAGGTGCTTGTTCAACGCCAGATAGAAGAGTCTGCACACCGGGCATTCGGACGACATCCTTACTAAAACAGACACAATGAATTGTATTTAAATTATTTTCTGTTTCTCCGTTTATATGCGTTAGCGTAACCGGTGATTGCAACAATGGGTCCAATGCTTCAATGCATGCTACACGGACCAAGGGAGGACTTGGGTTACCACCGGGTTAAATGGTTCCACCTACGCACCAACGCGGGGCTGGTGATGGCAACATTGGGTTCGATGCATCAATTCATGGTGCCCCGACCATGAGAGGGTTTGGGGTGCCCCAGAACCAGGCAGTACCCCAGCAGGAAACACGTGTTATGGTCAAAGCAGGAAAGAGTGATAGAACCGGGGTAAGGCAAAGAAAGTGTCCGACAATATTGACTTGTGAGGCGGCCAGATAATCTGTCATCTCTCGGTCCTATCATCCAGGCAATGCGGTTACCAGAACTGGGTCAAATTGACCAAAATGTAAAACAAATAAGTTTAAATTCATCCATGGAAAAGGGCTGAAAATGAAAAAAAGTATCGGAAAATAGTGCATCATGAGCCCGCAAGAGTCCCCTGTCAACTTCCCTTGCATTCCTCCACAGTCAGAAAAAGTCTGAGTTAACCTTTTGGAGAACCATAGAAAAGGGGTGAAAATGGAAAAAAGTATCCACAAATAGTGTCTCATAAGGCGGGTAGAGTCCCCTGACAACTCTCCTTACATTCCTCCAGAGTCAGAAAAAGTCTGAGTTATCTTTTTGGAGATCCATAGAAAGGGGTGAAAATGGAAAAAAGTATCCGAAAATAGTGTCTCATAAGGCGGGTAGAGTCCCCTGACAACTCCCCTTACATTCCTCCAGAGACCAGTTCAAAAACGTAAAATTTGGTAAGAACCATGCTGGGGGTCTCCATGCAACAATTGTATCCGAGCCAGAGCACACATGGAGCGGATACATTCCTCCATGAAGTGAGACAGCCGTTTTTTTCTGAGTCCTCTCAAAAACCGGGTTTCCGATTTCGTGCAGACAGTAGCTTGAAAATGATGAATGCATTTTTTTGACGGAGAAGGGGAGGCTTGGTTTCCCCTCTCCGTTGTAAGTTGCAACGGGGAAGTGGAAAAGCGTCCGGGGCTTCGGCCCGAAGCGCCGAAGGGTTGAGCTTTATTGAGCCCCTCCTCCGTTGGCACTCAGTCGTTTTTTGGAGAATTTTTTTAAACTTCATTTTTGATTATTTTAAGATATAATTGACCGCCTATGAGCTCCCAAATTTGGCCTGGAACCTCCAGGAATTGTGGGCTAAGCTCCATAAACTGACAAAGTCACCCAGAAATGTCACTTTTATAGCCCAAAAATATATAATACAAATACATTTAAAAAGGTACAATTGTGCTCCGAATTTCCCGCAATTTGATTTATATAGCCCCATGATAGTGAATAAAAATCATTTTCATGGAAAAAAGTGTTAAAACGCCTGATTAATATGTTTGTAATGCTGGCAGCAGGTTTACTGCTGTTAGCAAGGTCTCAGACTCACAGGCACCTATGCAGAGATCCAGGGTGATGCACAAGGCTTTTCTACCCAGCAATACGTATTTGAAAGCTGGGGAAAAGTGCTGTGAATACAGGCAGAGAGCAGCCAGAGAGAAGCGGGTGTGAGACTCACACAGAGACACACAGAGAGCTCCTTGCAACACATGGCTCTCCCAACCAGACTGCACCCAGCGGACAGGCTGCTTCACAGCTCTTTGTAACCCAGGAAAGCAGCTTGAATCGTGGGTACATGAGTGTTAAAAGTGCATTAAACTGTTGTAATTCAAATGTGCATTTGACTGCATAAACAGCCGGTGTTATGGACATATTCATGTCAGTATGGACAGGAAACTGTCCATTTCGTCCACATTTAAGTCATGAAATGTACAAGAAGATGAACACAGCAGAGTCACTGCTGTTAGCATGGTATTAGACTCACAGGCACATATGCAGAGATCCAGGGTGATGCACATGGCTTTTATACCCAGGAATAAGTCTTTGAAAGCTGGGGACAATTGGTGTGAATAGAGGGAGAGAGCACCCAGAGAGAAGTGGGGTGTGAGACTCACAGAGCGCACCCAGAGAGATCCTTGCAGCACATGGCTCTTGCACCCAGACTGCACCCAGAGAACAGGCTGCTTCACAGCACTTTACAAGCCAGGAAAAGTGATTGAATCCTGGGTATACATGTTTTAAATAGTCTGATACCTCCAGGGCGCATCACCGCATTTTACAAGCCAGGGAAGGTGCCTGAATCCTGGGTAAACATTGTTTAATTGTTTAAGTGTTTTTAAATGTGTGGAACAGTGTTTTGTCACTTTCAAAACTCTCCCGTCATTGACCGGAGAAATGGGGTCGATGTTGTATTCCATCTGACCGTTAATATTTCAGTGAGACGAAGTACGTACAATGACCGGAGTGATCCCATGTTAATTTTGTCCCAAAACCGGAAAATTCCCTCACCCTGCACGCTCTAACCCTCAACCTGCTGCACCCGTGTTCTCCATCCTTCCAATCATTTTATAAATAATGTATTCACTAAAGTCATCAAACCAGTCAGATCTTGACCCTTCGTCGATACAGGAAATGTAGCAGAAAACATACGTATTTATTTCTCTATTTGCATCTTTTGATTTGGCTTCTTTTTTTAAGTTCAAAATCGCCCAACCCCAGTTTTCATAAAATGTTGGCATTGTTAAACGTGCCCCCATATACTCTAGTTTATCAAAACCCTCCCTGTTTGTGGATTGTGGACTTGGCATGCCAGAACACATCAAGTGTTTTTTGAGAGTAAAGGTGATTATTATTTGGGGGAAGTATTCCTTTAGATCAGAGGTGCCCAGTACGTCGACCGGTCGACCGCGGGGGCAATGCTGGTAGATCGCGAGTCATTCATAAAAAAAAAAATCCAGCTCCGTTAAAATAGACAAAACAGGTTTTGATCCCTCCTCCCTTGGCCTCCCTGCCACTTAATTCAGGAGTTTACTTGATTGACAGAAAAAGCGACCTATCGCTTTCCAGTCTGTTAACCCAGAATGCAAAGCGATACAAAATCAGTCAAGTGCCGGTAAAACTCAAATTAAGTTAAAGAGACAAACAAGAGACAAATAACAAAATGAGTGCGGGACCGAGCAAGAAGCTAAAGACAAACCACTTCCACCCAGAACGGGAGGAAGAATATTTGTTTGTGATGTCACTTTCAAAGGTTATTTGCCTTATATGTAAAGCAAGCGTCGCTCTGCCAAAGAAAGGTAACGTGGAGAGGCATTATCGGAGTGTTCACAAGGCATATGACAGCGACTTCCCTCCGAGTAGCGAGTTGAGAAAGAGAAAGGTCATGTACTATTGCTACACAAACATTATCTCGCAGTCTTAGTGTCGCCAACTCGTTTCTAACATGCACAAAGACAAACAAATGCGTCTATGGTCGGTGTATTTTCAACCTTTCCAATCCAGACGAGATCTCTCTCCCGTCTGTGCGCGAGAGGGCGGGGCAGTTTACACACACGCGGCTGCTCCATGCAGCAACACACGGAGGAGATGGCGGAGAGAAGCGCTCCAAGGTGGTTAAATGTTACCCGTCTTGAGGACAATGCTCCTTGCCAAGAGAGTTCAGCATGTGAGGGCGGTAACACGAGCAATGTGTCTAAACATTTATCAAAAGTGCTCCACATCCAGACGGAGGAATGCACCGGGTTCCACTGTCTCTCTAGCAGCTCTGTAGCTCCATCCACGAGGAACGTTTCCCCGTCAGGTGTTCTGTATGCTAGCAGCAACACACGGAGTTAACTCCATGATTCAAACATGGGTTAATGATGAGAGGAAACTGAGTTATTCATTTGGTTAAAGTTTCAGCTATTCTGTTCACAGTTCTGTCATCAGATTATTTAATACCATTTGTTAAAACACTGTTGTTTCTTTTGATGTGAAATATTATTTATTTTATTTAAATAAAAAGCAATGTTAATTTTGTTCACAATTTGTTTAGTTAATTTAATAATATATGTATTTTTGAATCAAGTATTCATCTTTATTGTCTTGTTAGTTTCCACATGCCTGAAACAGCCTCAAGCTACATCTAAAGGTTGATGGCTAAATAAGAGCGTTTGAGAAATTGTGCAAGGCGTACAGTAATAGTCCGAATAGTCGATTCATCGTTTTATTAATCGAAAGATTAATCGATTATCAAATTAGTCGTTTGTCGCAGCCCTATTGTAGTTATCCCATGTATAAATAAAACGTGTTATTCAGCAACCCTTGCAATTTGGGATTTTATTTTTGGTTGGTAGACCTCGGTGAGCTGGTAATTTCAAAAGTAGCTCACCAGCCAAAAAAGTGTGGGCACCCCTGCTTTAGATGAATGGGTCTGGCTGGGTCTCAGCTGATTTACAGAAGCTGCACTCATAGGGTCTCACAGGGTCACTGTTGGCTTTGGTAATCTCAGGGGCTCTCAGGAGTCTGTGTTTCACTTCCTCCCAACATCACACAGGAGCGTCTGTCAGCATCTTCCTCTTAAAGTGCATTTTGAACCTGTGACCTGATATTATACAGATCAGGAGGGAGGGGTACCCGAAGAAAGAGCTGTGAAATATAAAAGCAGCCACACTTTGACAGTTTAATCCCCTCACATTTCTATTTTCAAGTGGCGGTCTGTTCAAATGCTCGATGAGTTAGGAGCAGAAAATGTGAATATACTTAGGCTTCAGAGATTATTTTGTGTGAAATGCATAAATACCGTTATCAATCACAACAGAGGGTTCTCTTCTCTGAGGGATGCATGATGTCTGCTTTTATTTAATGACCGCACTGCACTTAGCGTAATGCATTCACTGAGGAAAATACATTTGCCCTTTTTTCTGAATTAACAGAATTACAATCACTTTCATGGAAAAATAACTAATTTCACAACTCTATAGTTGGGGTATATTAACACATTGTAAAGTACATCACACAGTCATATGTCTTCTAAAGCATGCCCTTGAGGTTTCAAAAGAACAAAACCTTTAATCCGTGGGTCTTGTTTTTTGATTTTATGGTCACATGACACTTTTATTTTGGACCTGTTTATTGATATCTGTTCCCGTTGTATGAAAGGTTCCCAATGAAGCGGTGGACAACGCCCTCCAGAAGTCCTCTAGGTCCTCCAGTCACCAGAGCAGCCGCCACCGGACCCGGGACAAGAGCCGAGACCGGGACAAGAGTAGGGACCGAGACAAGAGTAGAGACCGGGACAAGAGTAGAGACCGGGACAAGAGTAGAGACCGGGACAAGAGTAGAGACCGGGACCAGGACCGGGACAAAGACTGGCCTCCTGAGAAACGTTCAGATTCACACTCTCCGGTGAGTCTCAAAGGACAAACCCAGGTATTATACTGAAACATGTTTCTTTAAACTTGATGCATCATTAGGGACCTTGTTTTGTTTTCCACATTGTGATAAGTGTAATGACAGCTCCTATAATAAAGTGTGAAAGAAAATACATTCAGTCCGAGCCCTAAGGGGCCACGAGGGTCCTGCAGTACCTCAGCTGTTCCTAGGACTGAGCTCTTCTGAAAAGGGCTCTCTGATGTTGTTCCAGAGCTCCTCTCTGCGTCCTCGTATTTCCCTTCTCCTGGTCCTTCTTCCTGATGGGTCTATCACCACTGCCTTCTTCTGCTGTCTCTGTGCCACCATCAGTCTGGATCTGGAAGTCCCACAGGATCTTAGCTTTGCCGTTCTCAGCCAAATCTGGAGGTGCCACCCGTTTAGACCCTCCAGCCCATACTCTGCACAGATCCTGTACACTATGGCACTTTAGGTACGTCGTACCCGCCTGCATCATACGACGTCAGATGAGTAGGCACATGGCTCGATACATTCCCAGAAGATAATTGGCTAACACACTAGGGGAGCCAAGCACCAGCTACTAGTGGACATAGCAGTCACTGGACACAGGCAGACTAGCCACATTTACCTGTGTCCCGCCTGGATCCGCTACGAGGAATCCTACGACTCAATGCACACATGTTTACAGGAATGCTTGGAGCTGTATAAGATCAACAGGACTGTAAGAGCCTTCATCCATAACTCAATGGGACTGTGTAAGATGACACTGGAGGCCAGAGACAATGCACAAGTGACCATCATGTGTGACGTATACCAAGGAGATGCTAACCCTAACCCTAGTGCTGAACCCCCTCTGTCAGATCATCAATAATAGTGGCCACTGATACTGGTTCAGAAGTGGAGAGACAATCAGCCCCCTCCTCTATATGATGACATCAAGCTGTCTGCCAGGAACGAGGTGACATCCACTCACTGATCCAGATCCTTAGGCTCTACAGCAGGGGTTGGCAACCCTAGGCACCCCCCCCCCCCGGTTAACAGTTCACGATCGTCGGCACACTGATCACAATTTTTTTTTTAAATGGCACTTCATATCACAAAGGTTGCCGACCCCTGCTCTACAGCCATGATATCTGGATATCTTCAGGAATGGTTCAGTGAGATCTGATGAATGCTAAAAGAGGTAAGATGGTCCCCCACTGAAGGAGTGACTCTACCAGACGGCAACACGGCGGACAAGCCTCACATTTTGTCATTAACTGGATCTTAGGCCTCACCAAAAACCGGAAAGTACAAATTGCTAGCAGCCTGACACAGTACACCAAGGGAGAGAGGGGTCGAGTGTTGACTAGTGAGCATCAGATGCCCTGCTTGGTATATACCAGCGACAGATCAAAGAAGACGATACAGCAAACATGGCGCACCATAACAAAGTGACTGGCATAGTGTACAGGAACATCTGTGCAGAGCCTGGGCTGGAAGAACCAAGGTAAAAACAGACGGCACCTCCAAATGTGGCTGAGATGGACAAAGCTAGGATCCTGTGGGACGGAGAGGATGGTGATGGCTAACCAAACTGACATTGAGGTGGTGGACAAACAAGTAATCCCAAGCGATAGTAACATCAGGAAGAAGGACCAGGAGAAGCTTTGGAAACACAGACTGGGACTGTGCCTCCAGCAAATCCCAGCAACAACATCCCAGACCTCTTTCCAGAAGACTGCAGTCCTGGAAACAGCAAAGATACTGCCCAGGACTCTCAGGGTAGAGGCCCTGATCTGGAAGGAGTTCATTTGTTAGTAGTGCTCATGACATAATACATCAGAATCATGTAATTCATCATTGATAAACCCCAGAATGTGTTCACATGTTTTAGAGGTATGATCTGGGTCCTCATCTGTCCTGCATCATGTCTGTTTCAGAGTCAGCCCCTGAAGTCTCTGCGTAAACTTCTGCACCTCACCTCCTCCTCCTCTTCCAATCAGAATGCTCATTCTGACATGCGCTACCAGCCCAACTCGTCCTCCTCTCAGGGGTTCCCAGAGGGCCGGGGCCACTCGGGGGTCAGCACCCCCCAGCTGAAGAGCCGGCAGACTGCCTACCCACTGCCCGGGCAGCTGGAGGCCAGCTGGCACTCGTCAGCTCTGGGTCGCCCCGAGGGAAATCCGTACCCCGAGCAGATGAGCAGCAAAGGGGGCCAGAACGGGCACGGCTTCGGACGGACCCCTCGGTCTCGAATGCCAAACCTCAACGACCTGAAGGAGACGGCTCTGTGATCGCCCTGAAGACCCCACCCCCCTTAATGTCTTCTTACGTAACACACATCTGCTGACTGCTCACACACACACACACACACACACACACACACACACACACACACACACACACACACACACACACACACACACACACACACACACACACACACACACACACACACACACACACACACACACACACACACACACACACAAATATACCAACACTTTAAACACTGCTTGTGAAATGGGCTACAGCCTTCTGTCTTCATTTTTTATGTTTGATAGACTTTATACTACTGCTTCTGTAATTCTGATTATGATTTGTATAATAACGTAAATATATTACAAACTAAATATATATATATATATATATATAAATGGATAGATAGGTTTTACTTTATGTATTTCTGTTTCTATTGGATATAGAGATATAGTACATTGACTGCGTAGTATTTCCTGAACAGTATCTGCAGCTAACAGAGTTTATTATTAGTGATGGAGGTAATGTCGGTGACTCTGCAGTGTCTTCACCTCTCTTCCTCTCGTCTCACTGTTTGGTGTCTTCTGGTCACAGCAGTCTTTCAGATATAGACAGGGGTGGACTGACAATCTGTTTGCTCTTTTTTAAAGGGTTCTTGGTTTTTAGGTCATTTTGTAATGCTGCCATTTTAGACACTATGGTGCCATGAAGTGAGTAAAGACTGATGTACAGCTCCTTCTGCTGGAGAAAATAGGTACTGCACCTTCTGTTTCTGACCTGACATGAACTTACTCAGCCACTGACATCTCATGCACTGTATGTGCAAATAATGTTCACATATATATATATATATTTTATATATGATATAAATAACCAATGCTATATGAAAGAATCATCCCAAATAAACACATATAACTAACCCTGTATAGACTTACTGACAGTCCGTTGGGCAGTAACAGGATCTGAGGTTATTTACTGATCTATATTCGATGTACACTATGGAGGGGGAATCATACAGTCAAATATACATTATTTGTCCTGTTTTCAAGTTGATATTAAAGGATGTGATTTGTTTTTATTATAAATATCCTTCCTACAAGGACTCAAGGAGTAGTCTGTTCTCCTCTCTAAACCAGAACGATCTTAGACCCAGTCCCGGTGGTTCTGCTTGTTCAATCAGTTAAAAATAAATAACTGTAAATAAAGTCTAGATGCTGTAGTTATGTTTGCTATATGAATTGTTTGTACAGCATATAGAGGAACTCAAAAGCCATTATGAGTGCAGTGATCCCCAACCGTCCTCTGAATATCAGCTCTGCCATTTTACCATAATGTTTATCTTAGGTTAACTATCACTGTGTCCATTAACTATATCTAAATAACTATTTGTTTATACTTTCACCTATTTCTAATCATGTTGCCACTACTTTGAGCACCTAACTATTACTGTAGCTTATCTTTCTTTGAGCTTTTTCACCATGTGTCCTTTACTTTTGCACTACCTAACTATTTAATACATCTGTTCATTTCTTTGGGTTTTTTTTCTGGTCATCCATTACTTTGAGCAAACTATTAACTATTTGCCTTTGACGTTACTCTTCCCTTGTGTGTCCGTGCAGCAGCAGGACCTGCTGTCAGGAATCACTGCACTCTTTAATCTGACGGCACAAACTGAACCACTCGGGACTTAGGATCAATCTGAACCCAGAACCAGGATGTGTTTCTAACTCTGTTTCTGTCAGAACCAGAGCTTTCTTAATGTTGCACTTTAAAGAGACGGTATGGCTCAGCAATATTATAACCCACTGCCTGTAAACTCCTCTTCATCACTGCTCACGGTGTGCAAAGTGTGTGAAGACTCAAAATGGCGTGGTGCATTCAAGGACCGTGCGCTCTCTTTCCCCACACAGTAAATCCCTCTCTGTGAGTTGTTATTGTTTCTGAAGGAACATTGTGTATTATATTAATACTGAGTGTGACCTGTTGGTAATATGTATAACAGAGGATCAGCTGTTTAAATGAATCCAGTATGTGATTTTATTACAGACACAGATCATTAGTAGCATAGCCAGAATGTGTATCATGAGAGTGTATCCCCCCCCCCCCCCCCACAGGTCCAGGTTTAGTATTTCATGTTTACATAATGTTACAGTAAATCTGAATAAAACAAACTCATTTAATTTGAAACCGTCAGGACTTTTTGTTTGGGTCGTTTTTGTTGTTGGTCTCATTCATGAACAAATCTTCACTCCTGGCTTTCAGGTGTCCAATATAGCATCGACAGACTTAAGGACAGGTAAATAGTGCATGAAACATGTCCCCCTCCCACTCGGTTAGTCTGAGCCTCTCTGAACACAGTCGAGATGAAGGTCCAGGTGGAGGTCCTGGTGGAGGTCTTGATGAAGGTCCTGATGGAGGTCCTGATGGAGGTCTTGATGGAGGTCCTGGTGGAGAGAAATATGGACTGGTCTGCAGGGCAGGTTGTGGACCATCAGGGTTTTTGCAAGATCTTCAGTAACACTTGTTCATGCACATCAGCAGCTCCATCCTCAGGGCGATGCGGGTGTGCCAGCCCAGCGGCAGCAGGCGGACATATCGGGCCACGATGGGGGGCCGCAGCAGGTTCTGCACCGTGGAGGATCGGTCCGAGTTCCCGTAGAAGACCTGAGGAAGAGGGATCCAGTTTCTGTCAGGACTCTTTAGGACAGGAAACTAATTTCTGTAGCAGCAACACTAAAGATATCTCTGAAAACCAACACACTATTTATATTATCTACACACATGTTTACATGTGTACTGTTGTTATAAAATGTGCACATTTTTACTAATTTTGTCACTACAGACAGTCTTCTCGTCAGTGTCTCTGATTGTGTCTCACCTCGCTCTCTGGTCATGGTGAAATCTCAATCTGTTTTACCGTGAGTGAATTCAGAGTGGATCAGTGGTATGATGAATGTAAAACTGAAACCGCAGGTTTCAGGGTATAGATAGGTTCTGTTATTATAGGGTCAGGGTTAGCTGGAGCTCTCTAATGGCACATTTCCACTGTAGCGGGGTAGCCCTGTTTAAGCGTCCCTAAGCGTCCTCGCTCAGGCCTCGGGCTGCCTCGCTGGCCGTCCGAGGCCGTGGCGCATTTCCATTACAGTTTAGGACCTGGGGTAGCAACGCAGTGTAGGCGGGGCATCTGTGCAGAGACATCCTGGAAAACTTTCACATTTCGAGTTGTCCCGTCGAGCTCCTGCTGGATTGTATCATCCCCAATGAGATGTAGGAACGTCGTCACCTCCTCGGTCGACCACGGTGTGCTTTTCTTTGACGTTGCCATTTTTGTAGCTCCTCCGTTTACAAAAATGCTGTGTATAAAAATGCTGCAAGCTTGCTTCTAGATATATATGCGACGCTAGGGATGATCTCGCGCGCAATCTTGTGACGATTCTCTCTGACCAATCAGCAGTCGAGAGTGTTGACGTCACCAGTTCAGCCCTGGCCCTGGCCTGATAGAACCACAATTGTATGGGGCCGGAAAAAGAGGGAAAAAGTACCCGCTAGCCGGTGCTAGGCTATATGGAAAGCCCACCAAAAACTGGCCTGGCCACTTGAGGACGGTTAAGGACGCTTAAACGGGGCTACCCGCTGCAGTGGAAATGTGCCATAACTGAGGGTGAAGCTAGGATCCAGCACTCACAGCAACACTAGGTATCTCGGTCCGTAGGGACCTGGCTCTGTAATTGGAGGGTTGCAGGTTCAAGTCCCAATCGGGCCAATTAAATGCAGCGAGTGACTGGTAGCTTGAGAGGTGCCAGTTCATCTCCTGTGCACTGCAGAGGTGCCCTTTAGCAAGGCACCGAACCCCCAACTAAGACTGGGAGCCTCTTTGCTCTTCGTGTTTGAGTTAGTAAATGTACTTAGTTACTTTACACCACTGTTTACATCACAATGAAGGAACAGAAGACCCGGCAGATCACTGAGTTTAAAAGTTTAGATTAAACAATGAGTCCTCCAAAGAGTCTGCTGCAGTTCACTAACATGTGTACGTCTGTGTCCCCGGTTACTCACCCTGTTGTTCCCTGTCTGGTCCTTGTAGTAGATCCAGTTGAGGGTTTCCACGCTGCGGTACTGGATGCTGTATTTGGTGACCCACTCATCAGCATCACAGCGGCCCTGGCTCAGGATCCCCGACATCACCTGCACCTCCTTCAGGTCGATCTGGATCCACTGGTGCAGGTCGTTAAACTTGGATAGCCACGCACACCTGACGCAAACACCAGCTTTAGTTTCATATGTAAATAAAATAAAATAATTATTAAGGGGTCCGGACCTACCCAAAGCCCTGGTTGTTGAGGCAGGCCTTGGGGGGAAGCCAGGAAGAGTACCAGCCCGAGTACTGTTCCTGGTTGGAGCAGCTGATCTGGTCCGATGTCACAGATCCAGATTCAAAGCCCAGAGCCCGGTGGTACGGACACTCTGTGGACAAAGGAAGCATTGTGGAGTTAGCACGATAGCTAACTAGCTGGCTGTAGTTAGCTTTGTAATGAGTCTCTATTGGCGCATTTCCACTGCAGCACGTAGCACGGTTTAAGTGTGCCGTGCCAAACCCGGCCCGTTTTTTTTTGCTTTTCCACGTTTTTTCTGGCCCTCCAAAATCGAGGTTCTTACCGGACCAACAACCGGGCTGAATATGCTAAACTAGTGACGTAAACACTCGACTGCTGAATGGTCAGACAAACTAAATGAGAATATTTGACCGTGATTTAATTGTAATCCACGTTTCAAAATGATGCCGAAGTAACAACATACTGATACCGGTTAGTAAAAACCATGAATTAATGCTTTGACAAGTCTGCAGACAGACGGCAGGCGAAACACCGTTTTAAAATGCGTGTTTTCTAAATGGAGATAACGTTGTAAATGCTCCGACCGTCCACACTCACAACAACGACCTACAGACATAAATAAAGCAGCGACTGTATTCACCATGTCACAGGCAGTCTGTGGTTTGTACTTGTTTCACTTTTGTCTAGTTTCTGAACAGATATGAAGAACTGTGAGCTCTGAGGGCTAACAGCTAACGGTTGATGTGTTGGTTTTGTGGTTCGCATTGAAGATGACGTCACGGCTCCGCCTACACTGCGTTACTATAGTTACTGCCGCAGCTACTACACTGTAATGGAAACGCAGCATGAAGTGAGCCGGTCCTAACAAGGCCTAACGAGGCTTAACTATACCGTACTAAGCCGCGCGAGGCCCTGCAGTGGATATGCGCCATATGTGACATAAGAGGAGGAGGAGGAGGGGGGGCCGGTTCTGGTTGAAGTTTCAGGAGATCAGATATGAATCAGACTGGTTCTGGTTCAGATCTGAATCAGACTGGATCTGAATCAGACTGGATCTGGTTCAGATCTGAATCAGACTGGTTGAGATCTGAATCAGACTGGTTCAGGTTCAGGTCTGAATCAGACTGGATCTGGTTAAGATCTGAATCAGACTGGATCTGAATCAGACTGGTTCAGATCTGAATCAGACTGGATCTGAATCAGACTGGATCAGGTTCAGGTCGGAATCAGACTGGTTCAGATCTGAATCAGACTGGATCTGGTCAGATCTGAATCAGACTGGATCAGGTTCAGATCTGAATCAGACTGGATCTGGTTCAGATCTGAATCAGACTGGATCTGGTTCAGATCTGAATCAGACTGGATCTGAATCAGACTGGATCAGGTTCAGATCTGAATCAGAGTGGTTCAGATCTGAATCAGACTGGATCAGGTTCAGATCTGAATCAGACTGGATCAGGCTCAGATCTGAATCAGACTGGATCCGGTTCAGGTCTGAATCAGACTGGTTCAAATCTGAATCAGACTGGATCTGGTTCAGATCTGAATCAGACTGGATCTGGTTCAGATCTGAATCAGACTGGATCAGGCTCAGATCTGAATCAGACTGGTTCAGGCTCAGATCTGAATCAGAGTGGTTCAGATCTGAATCAGACTGGATCCGGTTCAGGTCTGAATCAGACTGGATCTGGTTCAGATCTGAATCAGAAGGATCTGAATCAGACTGGATCAGGTTCAGATCTGAATCAGAGTGGTTCAGATCTGAATCAGACTGGATCAGGTTCAGATCTGAATCAGACTGGATCAGGCTCAGATCTGAATCAGACTGGATCCGGTTCAGGTCTGAATCAGACTGGTTCAAATCTGAATCAGACTGGATCTGGTTCAGATCTGAATCAGACTGGATCATAATCAGACTGGATCTGGTTGAGATCTGAATCAGACTGGATCAGGCTCAGATCTGAATCAGACTGGTTCAGGTTCAGATCTGAATCAGACTGGTTCAGGCTCAGATCTGAATCAGAGTGGTTCAGATCTGAATCAGACTGGATCCGGTTCAGGTCTGAATCAGACTGGTTCAAATCTGAATCAGACTGGATCTGGTTCAGATCTGAATCAGACTGGATCTGAATCAGACTGGATCTGGTTCAGATCTGAATCAGACTGGTTGAGATCTGAATCAGACTGGATCAAGTTCAGATCTGAATCAGACTGGATCTGGTTAAGATCTGAATCAGACTGGATCTGAATCAGACTGGATCCGGTTCAGGTCTGAATCAGACTGGTTCAGATCTGAATCAGACTGGATCTGAATCAGACTGGATCTGGTTCAGATCTGAATCAGACTGGTTCAGGTTCAGATATGAATCAGACTGGTTCAGACTCAGATCTGAATTAGAGTGGTATAGATCTGAATCAGAATGGTTCAGGTTCAGGTCTGAATCAGACTGGTTCAGGCTCAGATCTAAATCAGACTGGATCAGGCTCAGATCTTAATCAGACTGGTTCAGGTTCAGATCTGAATCAGACTGGTTCAGGTTCAGATCTGAATCAGACTGGTTCAGGTTCAGGTTGCGTGATGAGGTAGCAGGATTTCTGCAGTATCATGTAGCGAAGGCATTGCCCTATTTTGGGCGTCCTAATCTGCTCATCACCTCCTGCAGGTAATCAGATTATCTGCTCGGCCTCTCAGTGCTTTATTTATTTTATATCTTCATCTCAGATCCAGACTGTGAGGAAGACCATCATGCAGGAGAACCAGATCGTCCTGTATGAGTCTCCTCCTGATGAACCAGTCTTTAGAGAGCCGCGAGGGTTCATGGTGGTGTCATGAGGGTTCATGGTGATGTCATGAGGGACATGTGACCTCACCTGGCATGCAGGTGTCCGGCTGAGGCTGTGGGGAGGGGGGGGGGCAGCTTGGGCTGGAGGAGGGGGGGATTAAGTGTCGCTGTGTCAGCAGATTCACAGTCACATGTGCAGGCCTTCACGTTGGACGTCCAGGACTCGATGACCTGCTGCTCCTCCTGCAGATCCTCGTTCTGCAGATCCTCGTTCTGCAGATCCTCGTTCTGCAGATCCTCCTCCTGCAGATCCTCCTCCTGCAGACCCTCCTCCTGCAGATCCTCCTCCTGCAGATCCTCCTCTTGCAGACCCTCCTCCTTCAGATCCTCCTCCTGCAGACCCTCGTTCTGCAGATCCTTCTCCTTCAGACCCTCCTCCTTCAGATCCTCCTCCTGCAGACCCTCGTTCTGCAGACCCTCCTGCAGATCCTCGTTCTGCAGATCCTCGTTCTGCAGATCCTTGTTCTGCAGCTCCTCGTCCTGCAGACCCTCCTCCTGCAGACCCTCCTCCTGCAGACCCTCCTCTTGCAGACCCTCCTCCTGCAGGAGACCCAGGTTAATCCACAGAGCAGATCTCTAACAACATTGTATTTCAATTGTAACTCGTGTTACCTCCTGAGAGTGCATAGAGGTCAGCGCTGAGCCGTGCATCAAACACAGAAAGAGATTACATGATGAAAGTGTCATAATGGTACAGTGAACAGTGAACAGTGAACAGCTCAATGAGAGAGAGGACGTCACGCTAAACGCTAAACACTGAACACTGAACAGCTCAATGAGAGAGAGGACGTCACGCTAAACGCTGAACACTGAACACTGAACAGCTCAATGAGAGAGAGGACGTCACGCTAAACACTGAACACTGAACACTGAACAGCTCAATGAGAGAGAGGACGTCACGCTAAACACTGAACACTGAACAGCTCAATGAGAGAGAGGACGTCACGCTAAACGCTAAACACTGAACACTGAACAGCTCAATGAGAGAGAGGACGTCACGCTAAACGCTAAACACTGAACAGTGAACAGCTCAATGAGAGAGAGGACGTCACGCTAAACGCTGAACACTGAACAGCTCAATGAGAGAGAGGACGTCACGCTAAACGCTAAACACTGAACACTGAACAGCTCAATGAGAGAGAGGACGTCACGCTAAACGCTGAACACTGAACAGCTCAATGAGAGAGAGGACGTCACGCTAAACACTGAACACTGAACACTGAACAGCTCAATGAGAGAGAGGACGTCACGCTGAACACTAAACACTGAACACTGAACAGCTCAATGAGAGAGAGGACGTCACGCTGAACACTAAACACTGAACACTGAACAGCTCAATGAGAGAGAGGACGTCACGCTAAACACTGAACACTGAACAGCTCAATGAGAGAGAGGACGTCACGCTAAACGCTAAACACTGAACACTGAACAGCTCAATGAGAGAGAGGACGTCACGCTAAACGCTAAACACTGAACAGTGAACAGCTCAATGAGAGAGAGGACGTCACGCTAAACGCTAAACACTGAACAGCTCAATGAGAGAGAGGACGTCACGCTGAACACTAAACACTGAACACTGAACAGCTCAATGAGAGAGAGGACATCACGCTGAACACTAAACACTGAACAGTGAACAGCTCAATGAGAGAGAGGACGTCACGCTAAACACTGAACACTAAACACTGAACAGCTCAATGAGAGAGAGGACGTCACGCTGAACACTAAACACTGAACAGCTCAATGAGAGAGAGGACGTCACGCTGAACACTAAACACTGAACACTGAACAGCTCAATGAGAGAGAGGACGTCACGCTGAACACTAAACACTGAACACTGAACAGCTCAATGAGAGAGAGGACGTCACGCTGAACACTGAACACTGAACAGTGAACAGCTCAATGAGAGAGAGGACGTCACGCTAAACACTGAACACTGAACATCTCAATGAGAGAGAGGACGTCACGCTAAACACTGAACAGCTCAATGAGAGAGAGGACGTCACGCTAAACACTGAACAGCTCAATGAGAGAGAGGACGTCACGCTAAACACTGAACACTGAACACTGAACAGCTCAATGAGAGAGAGGACGTCACGCTAAACACTGAACACTGAACAGCTCAATGAGAGAGAGGACGTCATGCTAAACACTGAACACTGAACAGCTCAATGAGAGAAAGGATGTCACGCTAAAAGCAGATGTTGGGACTCAGGATGAGATTAAGATGCAACGATAAGGAAATACAAACACGTTCATTATTCTGCAGGAACTGACCACAAAAAACCTGATAAAAAGATAAAATAATATTGAAGAGTAAAATAACCTTGTTAGTAGAGAGTAATTTGTAATTTTGAGTTGCTTTTATTTGACATTTTTAATTTTGATACTTCTTTCTAATTTGGATCAACACAAACACAACGTGTAGCATCACCTGATACATGATGATTGTTTCTGTGATGAATGATTCAAACACTGGAACCCATTCTGGAACATTTGACATACTGAATACTTGATTTGTTCCTTTATTGATTTACGTTTGAATGCAGGACTTGCTGTACTCATTTCCTGTGACTCTTCAGAGCAGCGATGACTAACCACAATAAACACTTTATCTGATGGTCTGTTGATGATGTTCTTACCGGTCGAGAGCAGCAGCAAGAGCAGCAGCGCAGCACGACGACCAGCCATCGTCCTCCGTCAGCAGAGACTGACCTGCCGCCTGAGGATTACTGTAATCCAGGAGCAGATGCTCTCTCTATTAACCCCCTCACTGCTGTTATCTCACAATGTTTATTTATATAGCCCAATATCACAAATGTTACATTTGTCTCAGTGGTCTTCACAGTTTGTACAAAATATCAGTATGACAATACGACACCCTCTGTCCTTAGACCCTCTGTCCTTAGACCCTCTGTCCTCAGACCCTCTGTCCTTAGACCCTCACATCGTACAAGGAAAAACCTCCGGAGAAATCCCACAGTTTAAAGGGAAAAATGGGAGAAACCTCAGGGAGAGCAACAGAGGAGGGATCCCTCTCCCAGGACGGACAGACGTGCAATAGATGCCGTGTGTAAATTGAAAATATTATACATTTGCAACATAGGTAGTCCAAATGTTTGGAAATGCCTGTGTGTATAATAGGAAGATGAATCCACGAGGATATCCATCCAGGACCTATGATCCAGGACCACAGCCACGACTCAAGAGGGGACACAGGACACAGGACCGCAGGATCATCCATGACTCCGGATCCCGGCGTATATAGACACCAAAAAGAAAGACATTTGGGGAACGTCCCCAGCTGACCCAGAAAGCGACTCAGGTTCTGGTCCAGGCTCTCGTCATCTCACGCCTAGACTACTGCAACTCCCTCCTGGCTGGTCTACCTGCATGTGCCATCAGCAAAAACACGTGGGTTGGCTATCCTGGCTCCAAAATGGTGGAATGAGCTCCCATTGACATCAGGACAGCAGATAGCTTACACACCTTCAAGACTGAAAACTCATCTCTTTCGACTCCACTTCGAGCGATAGAACTATTAACAAAGCACTTATATACTAATAAAGGACTGGCTTACCTAAAGCCAGTTGAGTAGCACTTGAAATGTTTTGGCTCTATGAAACCTGATGTACTTTATGATTCTGTTTTCTTCAAGTTTGTATTTTGTTGGTCGAACGCACTTATTGTAAGTCACTTCGGATAAAAGCGTCAGCTAAATGCAATGTAATGTAATGTAATGTAATGGGAAGCTGGGTTAATTGGAACATGAGAGTACACAGGTATAGACAGAGAGAAGGACGAAGTAAGATGTCCCCCGACAAACTAAGCCTATATCAGCAAAACTAGGGTCTGAATCTAATCAGCCCTAACTATAAGCTTTATCAAAAAGGAAGGTCTTAAGCGCACTCTTAAAAACGGATAGGGGGTCTGCCGCCCGAACACAAACTGGAAGCTGATTCCACAAATGTGGAGCTTGATAAGAAAAGGCTCTGGCTCCCATTATACTTTTAGAGACTGTAGGAACAACAACGCAATGCCCTAGTAGGACAGTAGGGTATAATGAGTTCTTTAAGGTAAGATGGCGCCTGCCCATTAACCTCTTAAACCCGGCCCCCCCCCCCGATACCGGGCGGAAAAACACGTCACTGCAGGAGACAGCGTCTGGGGGCTTCTTAATATTTAAAAACCTATGAATGTCTTATACTCAAATAACGGGAAAAAACTCAGCAACCTAATGATATGAGCCATTTTTACCGAAACAAAACACAAGTCTCACAAGAAGCGTTAGCATTAGCCCTTAGTGAAAACAGGCTGATGCTACTTCCGGTGCTAACTAGCAAAAACGATCTTTAAAACTTAATATGTTCTGCACAAACTACATATCAGCTGAAAGCTGATACTCCACCGATTATTTTGATATAAGTATCATCACTGTAGGACACAAACTCACTGAGCCAGCAGCCAGAACAGAGCAAGAAAACAACAACAATGTTCTAAAGCATAACAATAATTATGTCTTTCCGTTGCTGTTTTGTGATCAAAAGTCGTGTTCAAGGGAATAAAAACGCTGCTCAAGGTTAATCCAATGTAATGTAATCCAACATTACATTACATTACATTGCATTTAGCTGACGCTTTTATCCAAAGCGACTTACAATAAGTACATTCGACCAGGAAGACACAACCTTGAAGAAAACAGAATCATAAAGTACATCAGGCTTCATAGAGCCAAACATTTCAAGTGCTACTCAACTGGCTTTAGGTAAGCCAGTCCTTTATTAGTATAAAAGTGCTTCGTTAATAGTTCTAACGCTCGAAGTGGAGTCGAAAGAGATGAGTTTTCAGTTTGCGCCGGAAGATGTGCAAGCTATCTGCCGTCCTGATGTCAATGGGGAGCTCATTCCACCATCTTGGAGCCAGGACAGCAAACCCACGTGTTTTCGCCGATGGGAACTTGGGTCCCCCTCGCAGCGAGGGCGCAGCGAGTCGTTTGGCTGATGCAGAGCGTAGTGCACGCGCTGGGGTGTACGGTTTAACCATGTCCTGGATGTAGGAAGGGCCAGATCCATTCGCAGCATGGTAAGCAAGTACCAGTGTCTTGAAGTGGATTCTAGCAGTTACCGGAAGCCAGTGAAGGGAGCGGAGGAGCGGAGTTGTGTGGGAGAATTTAGGAAGGTTGAAGACCAGACGAGCCGCTGCATTCTGGATGAGCTGCAGAGGTCGGATGGCACATGCAGGTAGACCAGCCAGGAGGGAGTTGCAGTAGTCTAGGCGTGAGATGACGAGAGCCTGGACCAGAACTTGAGTCGCTTTCTGAGTCAGCTGGGGACGTATCTTCCTGATGTTGTAAAGCGTGTATCTGCAGCAACGGGTTGTAGCAGCGATGTTTGCAGTGAAGGACAGGTTGTTATCTAGGGTCACACCCAGATTCCTTGCAGTCTGAGTCGGGGAAACAACTGAGGTGCCGATGTTGATTGTTAGGTCAAGAGTGGGACAATCTTTTCCCGGAAGGAAGAGCAGCTCAGTCTTGTCAAGGTTGAGTTTGAGGTGATGAGCAGACATCCACTGAGAGATGTCAGCTAGACAAGCAGAGATGCGTGCGACGACCTGGGTCTCTGAGCGGGGAAAGGACAGAATTAATTGGGTGTCATCAGCGTAGCAGTGGTAAGAAAAACCATGCGGGCTAATGACTGATCCGAGCGAGTTTGTGTACAGGGAGAAGAGGAGGGGACCAAGAACAGAGCCCTGAGGGACCCCTGTAGTTAATTGACAAGGGTCGGACTCAGAGCCTCTCCAAGTTACCCTGTAGGTGCGGTCTTTGAGGTATGAGGTGAGGAGGGAAAGTGCAGAGCCTGAAACTCCAAGTTTTTGGAGAGTGCGAAGGAGGATCTGATGATTCACCATGTCGAATGCAGCAGACAGGTCCAACAGGATGATGACAGAGGAGAGGGATGCAGTTTTGGCAGTGTGCAGTTCCTCAGAGACAGCAATGAGAGCAGTTTCTGTGGAGTGACCTGCCTTGAAACCAGACTGGTGCGGATCCAGAAGGTTGTTCTGATTGAGATAACAGGAGAGTTGTTTAAAGACAGCGCGTTCAAGTGATTTAGACAGGAACGGGAGGAGAGAGACAGGCCTGTAGTTTATAACATCAGACGGGTTGAGAGTGGGTTTCTTTAGGAGAGGGTTTACTCTTGCCTCCTTGAGACTGTTTGGAAAGTGACCAGAAGTTAGAGAAGTGTTGATGAAATGGGTGAGAAACGGTAGAATATCAGGAGCGATAGTCTGAAGGATGTTTGAAGGGATAGGGTCCAGAGGACAGGTGGTAGGGCGGGCAGAGGTAATGAGGGTAAGAACCTCACTTGGAGAGAGAGGGGAAAAGGAGGTAAGTGTGTTGGTGGAAGGAGGGTCTGGTGACCCAGCGGTGAGTAAAGGTGAGTCAGAAAAAGAAGAGCGAATATCATCAACCTTTTTTTCAAATTGGGTAACAAAGTCGCTTGACAGAAGTGAGGAGGGGGGAGGAGCTTTTGGAGGGTCCAAGAGGGTGGAGAAGATGGAAAATAGTTTTTTAGGATTGGAATAGGAAGATTGGATCTTATCTTGAAAGAAAGTGCTTTTTGCCTGAGAGATCGAAGCAGAGAAAGAGGAGAGGAGAGCTTGATAGGTTAGGAGGTCGTCACGGTGTTTGGATTTCCACCATTTCCGCTCTGCTGCCCTAAGGACGGTTCTATTAGCACGCAGTGCATCATTTAGCCAAGGAGCAGGAGGGGACTGACGAGCCTGCCGAGATGTGAGAGGACAGAGAGAGTCCAGAGTGGATGAGAGAGTAGAGAGGAGAGTTTCTGCAGCAGAGTTTGGAGGCAGGAGTTGGAACGAGTCAGAGGAAGGGAGGGCTGAGAGCACCGACGAGGCAAAGGTAGAGGGGGAGAGGGAGTGAAGGTTACGGCGGACAAGTGCAGGATGAGAAGAGATTAGTTTTTATGTTTGGAAAGGGATAGAGAGAATGAAATGAAGAAGTGATCGGATGTGTGGAGCGGGTTTACAGAGAGGTTAGAAGTAGCGCAGTTCCTTGAGAACATGAGATCAAGGACATTGCCAGCTTTATGAGTCGGTGGGGACGGAGACAGTGAGAAAGCAAAGGCGGTTAACAGAGATGTTAGTTCGTCTATCTTCCCCGTCTGGAGGTTGAAGTCTCCGAGAAGTACAGCGGGAGGGCCAGTTTCAGGGATGTGTGAGAGGAGATGATCTAATTCCTCCAAGAAGTCCCCCAAGGCGCCTGGTGGACGGTAGAGAACAACAATGGTTAGCTGTATAGGATGGGTTACTGTGACGGCACGGAATTCAAAGGTGGAAGGAGTGAAGTTAGGTAGCTTGAAGAGGGAAAAGCTCCATTTGGGAGAGAGCAGGAGACCAGTGCCACCTCCTCTGCCAGTTGGTCTGGGTGTATGGGAGAAGGAATATGCTGTGGAGAGAGCTGCTGGGGTGGATGTGTTGGATGGAGTAATCCAGGTCTCAGTGAGAGCAAGGAAATCCAGAGACTGCAGGGAGGCGTAGCCAGAGATGAAGTCAGCCTTAGGAACAGCTGACTGGCAATTCCACAGGCCACCTGAAACTAGATGTTGGATCTCAGTGGAGCATGTGGGATAGATGAGAGCAGGCCGGTTATATCGATTACGAGATACACGGGGCCA